GACTGAAACTAAAAATAGCTTCAATCACTCTTCAGAGATGCTGAGCAGGAAGGCGGTGCCGACACCACAGCTGTGCTAGCCAACTTCCAGGGCCCTTCCAGCTCCAGGAATTTTTGCCAAAGTGCCTTTTGCCTGAAAGTTTAAACCTTGTGCAGGTTAGGCTCAGCCTCATGCACTGCAGGATCTGCACCCTTGTCACCTGGTGGTGGGGTCTGGAGGTGCTTGACTCCTACCCGTAGCACCCAGTCTCTGGAGCTCATCCTGTCCAGAGGCACAGTGAGGGTTGGATTTGATGTTCAATACCTGTAAGATGGAGTATGGCTTCTGCGTGCTGCCCGCCATCCTGGCCTTCCCAGCAGCCCCCTGCGGCAGACTTGGTGGACTGGCTTGTTCAGGTTCCTCTAATGTATTCTCAGCAGAGACTGAGAAACTCCAAACACAATTTCACAAACTTCTTTTCACTGAGGTCATGAGTGATTTCGTGTCTCTACTCAGATGCACTGGAGACACAAGTGCAGAAGAAAGCTGCCTGGGGAACAAGACCAAACAGGAGGCATCAACCTGTGTGCCATTTCTGATGGTGGCAAAGGCAACAATTCTGTCCTGTGATTTTGAGAAGTCATTCCCAGAAGCTCAATTTAAGTCCTTTTTCTTGGGCCGGTCTAGCAATTCTGGAAGCCATAAGTGCTTTTTCACAGACCCATGTCTACTTAGCCAGGTAGAGCAAATTCTGCTAATTCTAAGGATGAACTCTGGCTGATCTCTCACATCCTCCACATGGCTTTCCACCTCCCAAAGTCATTCCCTGTCACCTCATGGGGCAGCAGTGTGACGGAGGAAAGACAATTCAAACTCCAAGTAGTAAGAGAGAGAGAGAGAGAGAGAGAGAGACCTACAGGGACTCTCTCTCTGGAGATATTGAGATCAGATTCAGGAGATCAGATTCAGGGAAGGTGGGCAAGCGTGTGGAGGAATGTGTGGAGGGATGTGCATGGTGGGGATGTGGACTGGGGATGCATAACAGTCTGGCACAAGCTAGAAGGGAGTGAATAGGGGCTGTTTCCTGGGGGGCTCCGTTGTTGCTGCTGATCAAAATATCCTGTCTCTAGTCCCTTGTTCACACTTACCTCCCTGTCAAGGTGATCTAGCTGGTTATGCTAATCTGGCCATATGTCTACCTGCTGTTTTCAGCAGATATCCTCATACCAAGACTTCTGTCCCGGTGAGAGGCCTCCTGCCTGACTCTACATTTTAGCTTGACCAGCAGCAACTTAGACCGCCAAGCAAAATCCCCAGAACAAGGCGGGCTGAGGAATATTCCCCAAACTCAAACTCCCACACTCTTCATCACAGCTCAGTTTACTATATTAAAACTTCATCCTGTTCAGAACCCCCATTCTAGATGCTGGACCTTTTTACTTGGCATTTTACTTTTCCCATCCCAACTGGGAAGCCAAAGAGAGATTCGAATGCCAACAAGAATGAAAGCCTTAAAACCCTCCAATATCTCCGAGGGCCCTAGGGAAAAAGCTGAAACTTCTCTATGTAGCATACAAGGGTCTTGCTCCTGGCCCATTCTGCACCATTCCTCTGCCCTGCCACCTTCCTATGACACTCCACCACTCTACAAGTAACAATGAATTCCTGGTTCCCACGTCTCTCCTCCCCTAACCCAGCCACCATTTTATCTAACTTGACCCTCATTGCTCTCAAGTAGTTCTTAGGATTGGGCCTGCTTTGGATCCTGCTCCCTTGACTGGTTTTTGCTACTCCCTGCTCCAAAGACAGAAAGCCAACGCTGGCAGATCTCAGCACACCCAGATCAGGACAGCTCACCTGGCTGACTCTCCAACACTGCACCCAGCCTCACCACATCTGTCCACTGGGCTCCAACTACCTGGGAGTCTGCCAGCTAGCTGATAGTGTAACAGGGTGGTCCCCAGGAAAGGGGGAGGTTCCAGGTTCCCTGCCCCACACTAAAGGAGGGTGGAGCTGAGCAGGGAGAGAAGAAGCTGCAGAGGAGACTGAGGAAGGAAGGAAGCGGGATGGAGCCAGAAGGAGACCTGGAGGAGGCATATGGGTCCTAGAGACACGTGAAGAAACTACGCTTGTCTTTTGGTCGTGGACGGGGTGACACAGATGTGGGTGAGACCCGTGGGGAGGGTGACAACGGCAGCTTTTGTCTTGATTTTGATTTTGCTCTTTTCCTTCCGGGCTTGTCTGGTTGTTTCTGACCCTTTTCTGTGGGTCCCCACTGGAAGATGCTTTAGACTTGGGGCAGGCTTTGGGGCCTTGCTCTGGGCCAATCCCATTTGGATGGAGTTTTACCCACGAGGGGACGGGTAACTTTGGGTGCTTGATTTAGAAACTAGATTCTTTGCCTTTCCTGTATCGTTTCCTAATTGTATTAAAGTTCCTTCCCATTAAAGTCTCATGTTTTGTGTTAATGCGGCGGATGGCAGAACCTATTTAGAGCAGGCAGGTTTGCGGGGTCTGGGCTGCCCCTCTCCCTTCCTGTAACAAAATGCCATATGAGAAGTTTCCCTGCACAGTGGCTACAGCACTCGTCTATTGTTGAAGTGCTATTTAATGTTCTCACCCAACCCCATAAAACTTCTCAGACCAGAGTCCCTACTTCATCTGCCCTGAGGTAGTTTTGAGAATATTCAGGCCTCCTGTCCAAGTCCTGGAATCCTACAAGGTTGGCTCAAATCCTAACACCTTATCATAGTGGACACTTCTTGAGGGTCTGGGTTTGTGACTAGAGGTGGGGATCAAATGGGCCCAGCCATGAAGAGGAAAGAGCTTCCAAGTCTGACAGCCCAGCAGACATTACAGGGCTTACCCACACAGCACCTTTCCATGACTCTACACTCACTATAAAATGAACAAGCTTGTAGCAAACTGTTCTAGAAGCACTTTTCCACTTCATAGTGATTCTATTTGTGTCAGCAAAAGAAGGTAGGTTGGAGCATCCCATTCTAGAACAATTGGAACAATTACCCCTTAAATGGGATAATTATAGTTTGATCATTTGGAGACAAAAGGGAGATTGGTTCCAAGATTTTTTCCTGCTAGCTGGAAGTATTTCTGAAGAAACTGCTTGTGTTCCGGGACCACACACTTCATATTTCAGATCCAGGCATGAATGCCTTGGCAATATTTCTGTACTTCTTGTCCAGTGTCTGGCAAATTGCTGACAAAAGGACATAAGTGTTTATGTTTCTCTTTTGTGCTATGCTGCTAAATTTAGAAATGAGCCAAGGTAATTATGTGGATAAGTTAAGCCAATGGGACCAGACCCTTTGGTGTGCCCTTAAGAGTTGACAACCTTATCAGAAACCATATTGACATGTTGGCATCCATTTGACCAAAGTAACAACATAAATAGTATCTCTATTAAGGCCTTGAATAACAGACAAATAGCTATTTTCTGATCTCATTTTTAGCTGCATAAACTGTATCTGATTACATTTTGTATCTATAGGCTGCTTAATAGGTCTGCCTCTTCTGGACATCAGAATCTTATAGCATGGTTCAAGGTCTGCAAGCTTATAATGACAACAAAAAGGTGAAAATAAACAAACTCAACCTATGGAATATACAGGTAGAGGTAGTGATCATATGGCATTGAAATGTACTAATGCTACTGAATAGTTCACTTTACAATGGTTAATTTTAGATACCTATGTCTAATCATTTGATTATATATTTAAATTAATGTAATGTTATATGTTAATCATATGTCAATTAAAAATAGTAAATAAATAAATGGCTAGCTTTACGTTATGTGAATCTCACCTTAATTTTTTTTTTTTAAAGAAAGAGGCTAAATTATAGAAGGAGTTCCCAATAAAAGAAAGACCTTCCTGATGATAGCACCTGAAAACAGGTTAAGGATGTCAATGGTGAAATGAATCAAGGGCTCCCAGAATTGTTCCCAAAGCTATCTGTGCAATCCAGAGCTCTTCTCTATAGTCTAAAGTACCTGCAGGAAAAGCCTGCGGCAAGCAGGAGTCAGGAATTGGGGTTCTGCCACCATGGAGCCAAACAGTCTGGCTCACAGAGTTGTTGTAAGGCTTAAAGGAGACAACAAATATGAAAGTACTCTATGCCCCCATAAACATCCAAGGTTTTCTCTGAAGTTCTGCGTTCAAATTCCAGCTTACTTGTAGTATGACCTTTGACAAGTTACTGAACTTTCCTAACCCTTGTTATCTCTATCTACCTTGCAGGATGGTTATGAGGACTGGCCGTAATACATGAAGTGCCTAGCAACAACTACAGGCTCAGTAAATTGAAGTTATTATTAAAAGGGCAAAGCCAGTCCCTATAGAACGAAGGAATGAAAATGGGCAAGAGGGTATTGGAGGTCAAGCTGGGTGTCAGCAGAAATAATCATGATTAGCACAGGATTGTGGAAGCCCAACAGAAACACATGGTTACAGTGTACTAAAAATGGCAAGTGTGCAACCCCTTCCCTGCACCCAGAGCAGACATTGCTAATCAATAGAGGTGTTCTTTTCCTGCTGTGCCAAGATGAGGTCTCACCCAGCTCAATGTTTTGTTCCAAACACTTCCAAAAAACTGTTTTTCAAAATAAACAATAGGTATTTATGAAAATGAAACCTATCTGCCCCCTCTGTACTAGATACCTTGTTTTCTTGAAAAATGAAAAATGATGTAGGAATAGTCTCTTGAAGGAAGAGATGTCACGTGTCCCTAAGGGTAACCATGATCTCACATTATGTGCCAAGTGCCCAATGAAAACAGATGATGGGTAGGAGAGTGGCAGGGGTGACGTCTCCGTATTGTATGCAGTGTGTTCATTTCTGAGAACCATTATTTCCTTGTTACGTGTCCTGAGTCAAGTCACTTCAGCCTCAATTTTCCCATCTGTTAGTAGGAGCAGTAATCCCAAAAGCTCGTGGCATTGCTACTGAGTCCAAATGAACTAATGTATATGATCAAGCTCCAAAAGAGGAAAAACAGCATCCGCCATGAATTCTTCAGGAAAGAATGCCCCATCTGTGGTTGAGGAGAGGAGGACATGGGACAAGGCAAGGGTTTGGTGAGATATGTCATTCTCTTGTATCTGATGCAGAGATTGGTCCCCGAAGGAGAAGAGACCCCAGAATCCTGCTACCTAGGCAGCCAAGTCAGCCAATGAGAAAGGCTTCTCTGACCGTGTGGCTTGAAAATGGAACTGCAACTCTCCCAAAAAGGAGATCACCGCTAGCCAAGAGAGAGGGGCTCTCAAAGATCTCCCAGGTCAATCATGCAGGCCTGGGGACCAGCACGAAATACATGGCCTGGACTCCTAAACATCCAGACAAGAGCACTGAGCAAAGAGTCATTAGTTTCTTATCTTCAGATGCCAATCTCCTGCTTCATGCCCTTCAGCAATTCTCTCACCACAGTTGAAATCAGAGAGCCCTTGGAGGCCAGCTGCACTTTTTCTTTTCTTTTTTTTTAGATTTTATTTATTTTTACATAGAACTGAGGAGGTATCTAATCTTACTTCTGAGTCTCTCTCCTAAAACCCACTGCTCCAACCCTTCTCAAATTTCCCAATGAGCCAGGCTCTCTCCTCTCACATATGCTTCCCGGCTCAGTTAGTGTTGATGACTTTTCCACACTACATAACCACACACACACCCATCGTCCACCAAACCCTTTTAACTAAACTGCTTTTTAAAGCATCTTTCCAAACTAAAGCCTAGCCTGCTTTGGTTAGAATAAGTCTCTTACTCATTCCCATGGCAGTTTTTACTTCCCTTTATCATTATATTTATTATGATTAAGTGATAGCAACCCTTTAAGGACGGGGCTATGTCTTATGTCCAGACCCTCACTGATAAAGACAGTGCCTGGCACCATAGATAGTGCTCCGTAAGGATTAGTTGAAGGAATACTTGAGTAATCAACAAGAGACATTGCCCGTTATGAAGCAATGATACAGGAGCCCCATAGCACAAGCCATTGCGGGGGATTGGGGGGTGGGGGGGTGGGTAGGGAAGGACAAGTTTGGCTTTTTCCCACCCCACATAAGCAGTGGGAGCTGCGGGCATCAGCAGTGAGGTTTCCCTGCCCTGCTGCTCCAACAGCCAGCACGGGCTGCTCTAAAAGCAGCAGAAACAGCAGGAGTTCCTGCCTGTGGGCAGCCCCTCCTCAGGCACACACCAGGATTGAGTGTTGAAGCCAAGTCTCTAGCGGTAGCAGCAGGAGTTTCCCACCGTCTGCCCAGAGCCATGCCTCTGCAGCACCCCGGGTGCCCTGAAGTGGGAGACTGCAGGACAACTACACAGAGGCCCACCTCAGTGGGACATGCTTGATGGCTGCCCTGGCACTAACTGGGATTAAGGGCCAGAGCTTGGCCCAGTGTCCAACCCCAAAAGCACACTGAGTGTGGGCAGTGCAAGTGGCAGTGAGTGACTGTAGCCCCCTTAGAGCTCATGCTGCCAGCGGAAGCCAGTAGTGATGGTAAGTGGCGGTGGTTCTCCTGCCATGCCACCCCAGGGCATGCAACCCCACTGGGGCTGCAATGGCAAGGTGTTGGAGGAAGCTCTGGCAGAGGGGGCAACAGCTAGCCCCATGGCCCTTGGTTCAAGGCTGCAGGGAGGAACATGGGGCCCCAGTGCACCAGCACAGGGAGTAGAGAGACCATTGGAGTCACAAGGCAACATGGTGGGCTCTCAGCAGACCCCACCCTGCAGAAATTAGGATCCTTGTCCCAGTGCTGCTACAGCACCCCCCCCCCATTACATTGTTACACCCCGCCCCTCTGAAGGGCTACTGGGTTCAGAGTGTGTCCAGCCCCACTGAAGCCAGCTCTGGCTATAGCTTTTCAGAGCCCAGTTTGGGTCTGTACAGGCACCAAAGATTTCCTTTTAATTTCTGGTGCCCGGATAGTAGAATGGACCAATCAGGTGCAAGCTAAATGAGCCAATCTGGTTCAATCATCTCATTAGTTAATTATTCAGATTGAAAATCAATAATGAGCTGATTTATGCTAAATGGTCCCACCATTCCCTTAGAATTGAATAGTCCAATCAGTCTTGTAGGGTGAGGAACCCTAAAAGAGGATATAAGCAGGGTAGGAGCCAACCTCCAAAGAAAGAAGTGAAGCTGAAGACCTTTGCAGAGACCTGACTGCAGCACCTGCCTCCTGCCCTACTCTGACATCGCCTGAAAGGAGCACCACTGGCCTTGGCCTGGTGTCTCAAAGAACTGTTTATTGTTGGTGTGGGCCAAAAATTAACAAGGAGCTGTCAACCCTGGTGGCTCTGCCTTCTGGTGACTGATGGTGATCAGTACTATGGCAAGTACTGTCCAGCACTGTTGGCAGGTGACCAGCATCTGTGTCTGGGTCACCTCTGAGAGCGGTCCACTATTTCTGATAGTCTGGCACTGCCTCCCAGTGTTACTGCCAGCATTACTGACCTGTCCAGCACCTAGTACTCTCTAGTCCAGCCTTCAGACTGCTGCTATGAGCTGCTGCAGTGTCATCTCAGTGGCCTCACCTGTGAGCACTGACCTCCTGCTTGCCACAAGCTCCAGGGCCTAGTTGACAGGACAGTGCCATCTTGAACAAGCAGACTTTTGTTTGGGGACATTATCTTGGGTGAGATAGCTGGCCACTTATGGCCTTAGAAACTCTTTGTTCCTTGTTTATTAAATAAACCCCTTTGTTGTCGTTCCCTGAACCTGAGTGGTCTTGCAATTGCGTGCATGGGTGAGAACTCATAGACAATGACCAGTCCTCTATCTGCCACTGTCCTTTGAAGCTAGAGACATTGTAATATCCCTGTATCAGTAACATTGCAAAGTGTATGTTTTAATAGTTGTTTCTAAAAATTTTCTTATAATCGTTCTTTGGTTTCATTCTTTGTGATCAGCAACTTGTAATTAGGTGTCACTGCCAGCCCCCTGGCACAATTCAAGAATAAAATTTTCCCCAGATTTGGAGTGGAGGGGGGATAAGAGTTGCTGGTCCCTTTCAAGTCATGACAAAAAGTGCTATTAACATAAAGTAACACAAAACTTTTGTGACAGTGGTTTCCTCTGACTCAAGGATTAACAAAATCTCTAAAATTCACTGCAGAAATGAGGGCAAAGGATTGTTCTCTACTCTGTTCATAGACTCCCTCTAGTGTCAAGAACTCCAAATAAGCTAAGGAAGAAAACCCATCGAGTCCTCTGCTGTCTCCTTCTCAAAGTCTTATTCATCTGCCTTGGAAAAAGTGCCTTAAAATTCCTTTACATCACCTTTTCTGAGGGAAAATGAGAAATCCAGGCTGCATCCGTGATGTCACAGCAATTGTAATGGGAGAGTGATGCAGCTGTGTCCAGCCTACCTTCCCAGGCCGCTAGACATCAGAAGATCCCCGAAAGGGTTTCTGACAATTCAAAATGCCTAAGGAAATTGTACCATCACTGAAGATGAAACTGGAAAAAACCCCAGAGAAACTGGGAAGACTCTTTGCCTTCAGCTGGAATTTTATCAGCTTAGAGCTAGGGTGGCAATGGTAATCTCCCACTCTCTAACCAGTTGTCATCTGTGTCTTCATTGAAAATAGGAAAACGCACAGGTGCACTGGCTGAAGAACTTCTATGGGGACTACACCTGGGTTGGGGGGGAGGGAAGCAAATATTGTTTAAAAATGAACAATGATGTAAAAAATAAATTAAAAAATAATTTTTAAAAAAGGAAGAAAATAGGAAAATAAGTTAGGTTTTCATACATGGGGTTGGTAAAAGAGTGTAAGATATATTTAGACACAGGACTCAAAAATTTAAAAATAATATAAATGGTCCTTTGCAATGAATAAAACAGGATGCATTTCCCTAACACCTTGTGACTTCTGATGTTCGGAGAAACTGAGCTGCTTTCTTCTGAGCAGGCCACCTTATCAGACATTGGGAGAAGTGACTCATTACCCTGCACTAGTGAATGGCAAATAGTTATTTTCTGCAAAGGCTTCAAACTGGTTTTTATCAGTTGGAGCTCAAAAAATGTCAAAATCCTTTGAGAATCTACTCTAAGAGAACTTTTTTCTTCTTTTCAGTTTTATCACCCCCAATTCCTCCTAAACTTCCAAATGACTCCTACACTCAGTCTATCAGGTCTCTTCACCAATGACTATATTTTGAACAATTCATTCATTCATTGACCACCTATTTACCAGAGGCTCAATATAGGCCAGGGATTCTGCACAAATGTTGAGAAAACAGTGATAGACATGTTCTCATCGTGGAGGGGAAAACAGATAGGAGCAATAGCAAGGGAAGGCTGGGTTGCTATGAGAGCCTATAACAAAAATACAAATCTATGTGTAGGGAAAGTGCAGCCTCATAAAGAGGTGGCATTTAAACTGAGATCTGAAGGAGAGAATGGAATTAATCAGGTAAAGGGGAGGAGAAAGTGCTCCAGGTTTTGAGAACACCACGTGCAAAGTCTGGGAAGTGGGAAGGAATGTGAATCAAGATTATTGAAGAGTTCCTGATTATTTCAATCCTCTCTCCTAAGCCTCTTTCCTACAATCCCCACCTAACCAAAATGGGGCTCAATATTTAAAATGGGGCTCAATTTTTTCTCTCTTTGATAACCATGACCAAAAATTATCATCCTCAACTGAAGTAAAGGGCTTATTTTCTGAAACATTTAGATGAGATTAACCTATTACTGTGTGGCAGCTATTGGTACATTTATTCTATTCTTCCTGTTATATTACAAGTCTTGGGGAATAGAAATCTTTGCATTAAGTAGGCACTCTAGTAGCTGTTAAAACAAATTACGTTTCTTTACGTTACTCACAAAATCTAGTCTTTAACCTAATTGGCTCTCAGATATTCCTGTGAAATTAAAAGGATGTGGTTGTTTATGTTTTTTGTTTTAGTTTTTTTTTTTTTTAATGTCCAAGAAAAGGCAACTCCACAATGGCCAAGAATTGTGAAGGAACCACTGTGGAAAGCTGTGTGGAGATTCCTCAAACTACTAAAAATGGAGCTACCATATGACCCAGCAAGTCCACTCCTAGGGATCTACCCAAATGACACAAAAACTTTAATTCAGAAGGATACCTGCACTCCTATGTTTATTGAAGCACTATTTATAATAGGTAAAATATTGCCTATTACCTACCCAAATACCAAAAAAAGATGACTGGATCAAGAAGATGTGGTATATATATGCAATGGAATACTACTCAGCAATCAAAAAGATGAACTCATGCCTTTTGCAACAACATGCATGGAGCTTATGCTCAGTGAAATAAGCCAGAATGAAAAAGAAAAATATCAGATGGTTTCACTTATAGGAGGAATACAGGGGAAGCAAATAAGCAATCAGAAAAAAAAAGTAAATAAAAAAACAAAATTAATAGGCAACAATAAATCAGAGACATTCTGCATGAGAGGGGGAGGGAGAGGGATCAAAACAGGGAAGAGCATAAGGGACTATGGTGATGGTGCACATGTGAATTGGTGGTGGGAATTTTATAGGGACTACACCTGAGATAACAAACATTGTATAAAAAAAAATGATGTAAAATATATATAAATAAAATAAAAATAGAACAACAACAAAAAAACAAAGAATTGTGAAGTTCTGAGATCTTACTCTGTAAGCTAAGTTTGTCTGCCACAACTGCATGGATGGCAGCAAAAGGTTCAAGACTCCTTGGCCAAAGCCAAATGATGCAATAACTTATGATGCAGGAGGCAGCATGAGCATCAGCATATTTATGTAACCCCCCTTCAGCTCTCTGTCCCCTGTGGTGATGTAGATATGCCAGCATGAAGTAGATTGCATTAACGAGAGGACCCTGAGATAGAAACCCCAAATCTTTCATAAAGGCAGTAAGCTTGAGGCCTTTTGCTCAGGAAGAAGACATAATATATCCCAAGTCTGTTCATTATACAAACTTCCTTTAAAAGAGTGTGCATAACAGGAGGCAGAGAAATGAAACAGAAACTCATGGAGAAACTCATGGAGAATAATCTACCAACACTGAGCAAAGTCAACAGGCGTTACAACAGCTACTGTTTATTGGATGTTTAAGTGTCATGTACTGTGCTGAGTATATTATATGTGTGATTTCCATTGTTCCTTTTGTTAGGGGGAAAAGGATGTCCTAAAGCTAATTCCATACAGGTTTTGTGGACTCCACCCCCACCCCAGGCCAAAGCTAAAGACACTGGGAACTCCAAATCCCATCACCACCAAAGGGAAGGTGGCTGGGACCTGAGGGTGGGGTTAAGCAGCCAAGTGAGTATAAAGACAGACACGTGGGCTTTGGGGGGGGGAGGGTCCTCCATCTTGGCTCTCCGCCAGCTAGCAGCTCAGGCCAGCTCTGAGAGTGGCTTTGGGTTTCCAGGTCGGCGGATCGGGTAGGACGCATTAAAGACTTTATTTCCCTATTTTCTCCCTGAGTTGTACATTTTCCTTATTTCCTTTTCCCTTGTAAATAAACCTTTTATTAACTTTTTGCGTGTGTCTGTAGTGGAGTATTAATAAGTCCCTTTTAAGGGCGCGGGTGAGGACCCACAGCCAGGAACCCGTTCAATATCGGGGCTGTCCTATAACACTTTCAATAAATTTATGAGAAAATATTAAATTTATAAATTGAGGGCGACAATTTTATAAATTCAGGTTGTCAGCATACCAATAACAGCAACGATGGAGCACTTGGAAGGTCACAGGAGCAGTAGAGAGATGTCAAAGAGCGTCTAAATCTATTAGGTGAATACCATCTGGACTCTTTATCCACTATTCCTATGTCTGCGTCTCTGTACTGCTCTGGCCTACTTGGCAGAATATCCTTGTCCAGTGCCCAACTGGTTATAGTTTCAGCTAACTTCTGAAAATGGTTAAGAATCCCCAAATTCAGTAACCAGTTTCACAAAAGAGAACATGATTGGCCCAGATTTAGTTATGTGACTCATCAACATTGTATTTGTGTCAGAAAAGATAAAAATATATCAAATAATATAAATTTAAACAACCACAAGTAGTTAAAATATTGTGGCTCCACTTATCTTTTTCTAGACTGTGCGGTCCTGAAGAACAGGGATCTATTGTTCTATTGGACACACACACACTGCGGGGTGGGGGGGGTTAGATTTCCTGTAACTCGGATTTTTTTTTAATACTTAATAATATTCTAATTTGGGATTTTTTTTAATACTTAATAATATTCTAATTTGGGACCTTTCTGCAAGTTAATGAATCACTTTGACTATTTAGATTACTTTCAATGTTTCATATTATAAACAACATTGCAAGGTTAGTAAGTTTTGAAAGTCTTAACTAGAAATGTGATTATTTTATCTTAGGATAGAATTTTTCTTAAAAATATTTATTTATTTATTTATGCATACAAGAATTGGGGTACAGGCCAGAGGTGCGGGGGGTGAGAGGATCCACCAGAGACAGAGCGGGGAGCAGAAGAGCAGACCGCCTGGAACACCCTGCTGAGGGGAGCAGCACTTGACCGCAGGGAGCAGAGCCTGGAGTCGCCGAGACTGAGCGGGGGAGTGGCGAATACCAGACACCGCCCACCGCACGGGGAACTCGGGGTTCCGAGGGGAACTGACAGTTTGTCCCCCGCGCACCAGAGCGCGAAGCAGCAGGCACGAGCGCGCCCGCCCCGGCCTTCCAGGGGTGTCCGCGCACCCCGGCCGCACCGCGGCGGGACATCGGGCTCCGCGGCGCTGTGGGCGGCTGTGGCTCGGGCTCCGCCCCGGCGCGTAAGGGGCGCTCGCACTCGGGGCGTCTCAGCTCTTCAGCGGTACGTGGTTACCAGGAATGAGGCGCCGGAAGGTTCCCCGACAGGACCCCGCTTTCCTAGGTCGGCGGCGGCAACCCCCGGTGGGAAGGAGCGCTGGGACAAGCGGAGTCGCGCCGAGCTACGTCTGAGCGTGCGCCCGTCCGCAGGCCCATCTGCGTGACGCGCCCCCCGACGCTGCGCCGGGGCCGAGTGGCCGCGGCCCGAAACTACATTTCCCAGCATGCTCGCGGGGCCGGAACTCCCGCGCCCGAGCGCCCGCGCGCGACCCTCAACCTGAGCTCCGCCCGCCCGCGGACCAGCTGGGACATGTGGAGCCGTTGCGTGTGGAGACGCCCGCGCCCCGGAGGCGGCTGGGCCCGCCGGCTGTCAGCCCCCGCGGGCGCCCGTCGCCGGCGCTGCGGAGAGGTGAGAGAGGCGCCGTGTCACGGCTGCTGGGCTGCGCTGGGGAGCTGGCGCTGCGGCGCGCCTGTCCCGGGAGCCGAGGCGGAGGCGGGGCCGCGCCCTCCTCCCGCTCCCGGCGCCCTCCTCCCGGTGCCCTCCTCGCGCCCTCCTATTCCTCCCCCACGCCGCCCTCCTCCTCTTCCCCGGGCCATTTTCCTTCTCTTGGCGCCCTCCTCCCTACGCCCTCCTCCCCACGCCCTCCTCCTCCCCCCTTCCTCCTCCGGCGCCCTCTTCCTCCCCGCGCCCTCCTCCCTGCGCCCTCCTCTTCCTTAAGCCCTCCTCCTCCTCCTGGTGCCCTGTTCCTCCCCCGGGTGCCCTCCTCCTTGCGCCCTCCTCCTCCTCCCCGTGCCCTCCTCCCCACGCTGCCCTCCTCCTCTTCCCTGGGCCCTGTTCCTTCTCCCGGTGCCCTCCTCCCCACTCCCTCCTCCTCCCAGCGCCCTCCTCCTCCTCCCCGCACCCTCCTCTTCCCCAGCCCTCTTCCTCCTCCCCAGCCCTCTTCCTCCTCCTGGCACCCCACTCCTCCTGGCACCCCCCTCCTCCTCCCGGCGCCCTCCTCCTCCTCTCCATGCCCTCCTCCTCCTCTCCACGCCCTCCTCCTCCTCCCCGCGCCCTACTCCTCCCGGCGCCCTCCTCCTCCCCAGCCCTCTTCCTCCTCCCGGTGCCCTACTCCTCCTCCCAGCACCCTCTTCCTTACGCCCTCCTCCTCCTCATTGCACCCTCCTCCTCCCCGTGCCCTCCTCCTTGCGCCCTCCTCCTCCTCCCCGCACCCTCCTCCTCATCCCTGAGCCCTCCTCCCGGCGCCTTCCTCCTTGCGCCCTCCTCCTCCCCGCGCCCTCCTCCCCAAACCCTCCTCCTAGTCCCCGGGCCCTCTTCCTTCTCCCTGCACCCTCCTTCTCCTCCCTGCACCCTCCTCCGAGCGCCCCACCCGCTGGACGGCCCTGAGGAGAGGCCGGAGCCGCGCCTGCTGTGCTCCCGGGAGCGGGCTTGTCTAGGCCCGGGCCCGCTCGGCTGCTCCTCCGCTCCGCCAGCCCCTGTTTTCCCAGATGGTGTTTCCTTCTCTGTGTCCAGTGAAGCCGCCTGTCCCCGCCGCTGTAGCTCTGTGAGGAGCCGCTTTACTCTGTGTTGGGACCTCTCTCCCCTTCCCCGGCCTCTTCACACTTGGTCGGCGTTGTTTAAATGCTGACCCCAAGGCCAGGTATTTGACAGACTACATGGCACACGTTTCAGGTCAGGCCTCTGTCATCTCGAAGTGATTTCCAGTTCTCTGCAGTCACGGAATGGTCGTTCAGGACACAGAACATGAAGGCTGGAGCCTTCGGGTGTTCAAGCCACCCGCTCCCCTTTTGGCATCTTGAAGAACACCAGACTTTACTCGGAAGCACTTTTTCAGAATCTTCCCCACCCCCCATATCAAACTCTTAAAAAATAATCCACAGAGTTGGCACTTTATACCAGTTTTGGCATTCCCTGAGATAATGCACTTCTTTAATCTGCATTGTCAGCTGAAGGGAGCCACTCAATACCCAAGCACATCTCCCCCACAGCACGTTGTTCTTTGTGCTGATTATTAGCTCATGGTTGCATTTTACTCTCATAGCAAGACTGCAGTTGTGGAGCTCAGACTGCTGTTTAGCCGTCAGGGCTCTTCGCAAGGCCTCCAGTTACACATGTCTAGGTGTTTCGCCTACACACGCGTATGATGAGCTTTACAAAAAGTGGTAGCATTTTTTCAACCCTGGGAAGTTCCCCCCATCTTAATCCTGTTTTTGTAAACTGAGTATGTTTACCCAAATGAAAACACAGAATTAAACATTTTTAGAGAATGAATTTTGAAGTATAGATCATCTGGAAAATACAATAGATGTTCATTTTGTGACATATTTGTTGAATACCCCACTTGAATATGAGTGTTCTGGGCCTCTTAAACCTACTATGATTTGTGTCACTTATCACTAAAATATTTATTGGAAATTTACTGTGTACAAGTTGCCTAAACTTTCCTAATAGTGTTAGTAATCAAGAAATTTGAAACATTGACCTCTAACCTGTGGGAGGGTCTTAGTCATCATCTAACCCAATTCCCTGTTAAAGATGAATAAGGGAAGACACGAGAAGGTGATGTGACTTGTCTTAGTTTTGTGACTAGTACTTCTAGATTCCTAATCCATTACTAACGTCCCAAACTTAGCAAAACATCAGAAACACTGGGATGTTTTTAAAAACAAAGATTACTAGAGACTGTGCCAAAAATACTGAGTCAGTCTCCAGGGGTAAGCCCAAGGATCTCTTAAACTGTTTTTAAAAGATTTATTTATTTTTGCATACAAGAGCTGGGGTGCAGGCCAGATATGTGGGAGGGGGAAGGGGAAGTAATAGGATTCACCAGAGAGGGTAGGGAGCAGAACTGTAGGCTCAACTGAAATACTGCTGAGGGGAGTGGCAGGTGAGACAGGTCTCCTGCACCATGTGTATTAGCTCCCTGCTGGGGATCGAACTCATGCCATAGTGACTGGCGATAGCTTCAGAACACTGAGACTCTAACCCCTGTGCCACCAGGGAGGCCCAAGGATGTGTTAATTTTTAATTAATTAATCTTGGTATCTGGATACAACTAGCAGAGCATATAGCAACAAACCAGCAGGTAGAGATATATATTAACGACCATATCACTTAAGTGTTTCTGCTCTAAACTTAACAGCAAATTAATATAAAAGTTGCAGTTTAGGTTTAATGAGACATTGTATTTACCAATTTTATCAAAAATAAAATCTGGCTTTCTTCAGCGAAGAGGCAGGATGGTTCGAGGTGTAGTCAGAGTTCCAGTCTGAGATACACAAGTGAGTAACTTGTGACTCTCATTGTGTGTTTTCTTCCCACTGTAAAAACCACAAGTATGAAATAATCAAAAGAAAGAAAAATGAAATGAAGGGCTTGAGGGTTTTGTACAGTCTTGTTGGTTCTAGAAACTTTTACAGTATTAAGGGCCTGTTATTCCACCCTGTGCTGGAAACATTGATTCTCTTCTACCTTATTCTTATTCTTAATGATTCTTACTCTTAAGCAGTGCTTGCGAGTTGAAGTGCTCAGATGTTATCAGATGAGTGAGCATGATGCTCTGCTATGAACATCAGATGGCTTTTCCGGTTCCTTAGTGCCTCTGAAGAGGAATGCCCCCAAAGTCCAACTGCGAGTGGGTGTAAATGTCTCCCTACTAGAGCTGAGCACAAGATGACTGGAATATTTGAGCACATAGAAGAAATGTTGCACGCACCCTTCTGCATTCTTAGCCTTCTTAGCCTTCACCATCTCCACAGAGCCCAAGGTGGAAGTGGATAAGCAACCCGTGCCTTCATGAATTTCGTTCATTCTTTTCCTCCTGTGTGAATAAGTTCTCTAAGCGTGGGCCAACTGTATCTCCTCAGTATTCACTTATGGTTATACCTTGATCATCACAACTCAAAAAAAAACCCACAGCTGTTCATCATTTACCCACAACACCTACCACAGTGCTTACAGCTAATACCTATGATGGGCCCAGAATTATGTTAGGCATTGGGGATCCAGTGGTAGGTAAGAACAGGTATGGTTCCTGATGACAAGGACTTTATAGTCTAATGCAGGAGTCAGCAAACTTCTTTAAAGATGAAGATGGTGACTGTGTTAGGCCTAATGGGCTACGCATTCAATTGCAAATACTCAACTATAGAGAAGGCATAAATGAGTAAGTGTGGCTGTGTTGCAATAAACCTTTTAGAAAAACGGATGGGACTGTGGTTTGCTGACGTGACCCCAGCATAGTGGGAAGTAAGTGATTAACAATCATAAAGGTTTATACTGTGAGAGATGTAGTGAGGAATATTACGGAGTACTGTGAAAGACCCTAACAAGCAAGACCTGACCTCGAGGAGTCTGGGCAGGTCTTCTAGAAGAGGAGACACTTGTACTGAGCTCTGAAGGATAAACGGGAGTAGCGAAAGAAAAGTGGAGCTTTCTGAACAGAGGCTGTTCAGAGCAGAGACTCCTTAGGAGAGCCCTGAAATGGAGGCATGTGGCATTTTTGTGGAACTAAAATGAAAAAGCCCTTGAGACCAGAAGACCAGATAGAACATGGTGGGGTATGAGACTAGAGCTGCACCCTGCATAGATTTGTTGTCAAGGATCGGGCATCTGACTACCCACACTCAGCAAGAAGCTTCTCTTCATGGAAGTCATTCAAATGTTTGTTGACTGAAATCAGACAAACTACTGACCTCGCTAGTGTTCAAACCATAAGATCTCGCATGAGGGCCTCCCTGGTGGCGCAGCGGTTGAGCGCTGGGCTGCGAAGCTGCCCGCAGCCTCTGCAGCGCCAGTTCGATCCCTGGCCACTGGGAGAGGGTCCCACATGGCGAGCAGACCTCTCCTGCCGCCCGCTGCTCCCCTCAGCAGTGTACTTCGGTCCTTCTGCCTGTTCTGCTCCCTGCTCTGGCTCTGGTGAATTCTCTCACCCTCCCGCGCTTCTGACTGTACCCAGTGCTTGTATAAATCTTTAAAAAAAAAAAGATCTCGCATGATTTACTTAACTCTTCTGAGCATCAGTTTTCCTCATCCAGAACATGAGAATTTCAAGGATAAGAAATAAGTATGAAAACAGTAAGATGTTATATAATCACTATTACTGACTTCTAAATGCCGGGTAAAAGACTACCTTGTGTCAAAGAAAAGGGACTAAGGAGTCTTTATCAATAATGCAATTATTATTAGAACTATTATTGAAACCTGCTCTTCTTTTTCTGACTTTTCCTTTTCCCTTCTTCCTTAGGTCTAACACTGACACACAAGGTGCAGTGCTTAACCTTTCTAGATGGCACTCAGTGCTGACCACTGTGCTATTAAATATGTGTTTCAAAATTGATCCACCTTTGTATCTGCTTCCTCTTACCTGATTAAACAGAATTTATCTAAGTATTTCAATGAATTAATCTAAAAGACTTGACAGTACTCTTATCATTCGAATTTAGAATTTATGTTTAGATTTTTTTTTAAATGTTTGTTTCCTGCCTGTAGAAAAATCAGTGAAGACATCGATTATATCTGGTTTTACTCATTGTCCCTATGCCTAACGTAGGGCCTAATGTGCCGGTGTTTGTTGGAAAGACATAGGAAGGAATCACATTAATCATATTAACCTAGCACATCCTGAGGTTGTAACTCTGTCTTTTAAGTACCTAAATATCGTGAGTAGCTTTGAATAAATTAAGAAAGACAGCATGGGGTGATGGAAAGAACATGAGATTTGGAGAAGACCGTGAGTCTGCATCCTGATTCTGTCAGGCAAAACCCTTCAACTTCCCTAGGCTGGGTGTTATTATCTGAAAATGTGTATCATGTAACATTGCCCTAGTAATACATCAAGCATCTACTATAGTACATCGTGTTTAATTAGTAGTTATGCTAATTAAGTTATTTTATTCCACACCAAGTAATATTAATAAAATAAATTAATATGGGCAGAGTTCTCCCTTGGAAAAAGAATAACTTCTAATAAATTCATCAGCAATATATATATGGAAAAGGACTTTACAGTATCTAGGTTAAAAACTGGGATTTATCGAAACAGGACATTTATTTCAAAAATGACAGTCATTTCATAGGGCTCTTTATTGACATAAGTACATACTCCAGAAATTAAAATTCATCAATTGATTTAACAATAAAATATTGTGACCCAGCTATTTTCAAGCATTATTGTAGGTACTGAAGTCACAGTTGTGAAAACAGGCAAGGCCTTGTGGAATTTACCTCCTGGTTTAGTGAGACAAACAGTTATCAGGATAAGAAATGAGAACTAGGTAAGCAATAAACTGGATAGAATACAGAGAACAGTATTAGATGGGGATATAGGTATGAAAAACCATCATAGCTCTGTGAAAGACTTCTGAGCACTGAGAACTGGACAGTTTCTGCTCTGTAGTAGTAAGAGATGTGGCAGCAATAGTATTACATTATGTTATAAATAATAGTTTATATGTTGTATATTATATATTGTATATAATTATTAATACTATTAGCAATAGTTGTATATTATATATTGCATATTATATATTACAAGTTTAGACTGACTTAAAAATACTAAAAAGAAGAAAGGAAATATTTATTATATTTTGCCATGTACAGAATAATGGAAACATATCAGATGAATCAGGGACTCAGAGGAGTCAAGTAGCTTTCTTGAGATTATAGGATTATAAGTGGAAGAGCTGGAACTCTGCTATAAAATATGGGGGAAATGCTAAGTACTAAAGAAAAATATTTTCTTTTCAGATTTCTTAACCACCACAGCCAAGGAAGGATATGATATGAGGCCGGTGGACATAATTCCTTTAGAACAAAGGAAGTTGACTTTCGATACCCATGCCTTGGTTCAAGACTTGGAAACTCACGGTGAGAAAGAGAAGTACTTCATGAAAGAAGTAAATTAGCAGCACTCAATAAATTACCTAGTCAAGATAATACCACTATTATGAACAGTTAATAATCACTAGTGCTTGTCATATGATGAAACATTTAACAGTCATAAAAATGGTATTCTTGAAGAACATGCTATGAAGATGTTCAAGAAATTAAATGAAAAAAACATTATAAAATTGCATATGCACAATGATTGCAATTATGTTAAAAATCCAAAACTCTAGTTTCTACACTGATTCTAAAGTTCTTGTGCAATAACTAGAACATGGAATAACAAGAATAGCAAAATAAGAAATCAAAGAACAAACACAAGAGCTACCAGATATCAAAAAGTAATTTCAATTATGTGATGCTATAGAAATAGAAACATTGATTAATAGGAGTGCATTCAAAAGTTTGTGTGTGTGTGTGTGTGTGTGTGTGTGTGTGTGTGTAGCAAGCAATAAGCCATTACAAATCAGGGAAAGGAAGTACTTCAAGTGAGAAATGACTAGCCATGAAAAAAATGGATACCATACTGAAAATAGATTCTAGATTAAAAGCTAAGTAAAAAGAAAAAGAAACTGAAAAACACTAGACTATAGACTATTTTAAAACATTTAGAGTGAGGAATAAGACATAAAACTCAAAAGTAATGAAAGTAAAATCTGACAGATATTAACTGCAGAAATATTTAAATTACCTGTATATCAAAGCATATCATCCATAAAGTTAAATGTTAGCAACACATCTGACAGCGGGCTTACTGCTTCAATATACAAAAATTTGATATGAATCAGTAAGAAGTTTGGCAGTTTTACAGAAAAATAAGCAAAATCTATAAACAAGCAACTCACAGAAAAATAAATTTAAATACATGCAGTGATACCTGCCCACACTACAACCAAAGAAATGCAAATTTTAGGTCCAAATTATAATACCATGCAGTGTCATTCATATGCCAATTATTCATTCAAAAATAAGAAAGACTAGTAATATCCAAGATTGATAGATATGTAGGAAAATAGGTCAGAGGGAATTAAAATTTAGAAAGTAGTTTTTATTGTAATCATGTATATATTTAAAAGTGTTACTTAAATCTTGAAGAAAGTTACCCTGTCTATTCTGATAAGGGTGTGCACTTTTTAAAAATACATAAATACCTATATGCTACCCACAGGATTTGACAAAACACAGGCTGAAACAATTGTATCAGCTTTAACCACTTTATCCAATTTGAGCCTGGATACTATCTATAAGGAAATGGTCACTCAAGCACAGCAGGTAATGTTTCATTTTTTTTATCACTTTTGGCAGTTTCATTAAACAGTCTTTTTCATAACCTGTCTCTGTCTGCCATCCACCTTCAGTAAATACCTCATCTTCCTTGCTGTTCTAATGGGACTGAAAAAAAAAAACAAACCAACCTTGAAAATATCAGTACCTAGAGATTGAGGAGTTAAAATACTAATAGCAAAATAATAACAGAGAATAACATTTTATCAAATCTTGCATTGTGTGAGATATATTATTTGAATCTTGAGGTGGTGGTAAATCATTAGTAAAACAAGATTTTCTACATAGGAAGTCCACCAGAATAGAAGAGCTTACCTTTTTTTTTTTTTTTTTAAAGATTTATTTATTTTATACAAGCACTGGGTACAGTCAGAAGCACGGGAGGGTGAGAGGATTCATCAGAGCCAGAGCCGGGAGCAGAACAGGCAGACTGATGAAATACACTGCTGAGGGGAGCAGCGGGCATGGCAGGAGAGGCCTGGATACCATGTGAGACCCTCGCCAGCAGCTGGGGATCAAACTGGCGCTGCAGAGGCTGCGGGCAGCTTCGCAACCCAGCACTCAACTGCTGCGCCTCTGGGGAGGCCCACTTACCTTTTTATATAAAACAAACTATTTCCAGTCATGCAAATTGTTTAATTTTCACAAACTTTCAAATCTGGAATAGACTTATATCTGGGAAGGACTTCATAAATCACCTAAAATGCCTTAATATGACTACATATGCAAATTTCTTTAATTCAAATAACGTCCTTCACTAAGAACTTATGAAGTAAGAGACATGGGTATAATTAATCCATTTTGCCACTGAAGAGAGGATCAAAGAGATTCAGTGATCCATTGTAGTGTTATAGACAAAAAGCAACATCTTTTTCAAGCATTATTGTGAAAAAATATATAAAATTTACCATTTTAACTATTTTTGATTGTACAGTATGTAACATTAAGTATATTTGCATTGTTGTATAAACATCACTATCCTAAATGAGGTTTTAAAATTTTTTTCACAATATTACTGACTGTAGTCCCACGACTTATTTTGAAACTGGGAGTTTGTATCTCTTTTTTTTTTTTTTTTTAAGGTTTATTTATTTTTATACAAATGCTGGGATACAAGCCAGAGGCGCAGGAGGGTGAGAGGATTCACCAGAGACAGAGTGGGGAGCAGAACAGGCAGACTGACAAATACACTGCTGAGGGGAGCAGCGGGCGAGACAGGAGAGGTCTGCTTTGCCATGTGGGAATCTCGCTGGTGGGCCGGGAATCGAACCTGCACTGTAGAGGCTGAGGACAGCTTCACAGCGCTGCACTCAACCTGCTGCACCACTGGGGAAGCCCAGTTTGTACCTCTTGATCCCTTTCACGTATTTTGCCAGCCCTCAACCCCTTCCACTCTGGCAAACACCGGTTTGCCAGATCTCCCCAATCATTAATTTTATACCAAGTATGGAATAAGCTAAATGAGTTTTACTGGAATAATAATTAATAGTCTGTCAATTATGAATTAATTCACTATGTTTAAGAATCTTTTCTTCCTGTGGTTATACTTTCTTAATTTTTTTATCTTTTAAAATTTAAGCTTCCTTCCTCAGATATCTGTTTCACAGCAAAGAGAAATTAGGATTTCTTTCTTAAATATTATCACATTCATAAAATTTCATTACTTTGAAAGTTATGAAGGATTGATGGCTTGTAAAGATTTTTACTGTAATCTCCAATTAACTGGACATTTAGAATTAAAGGCATTCAACTCCTAGATTTAGTTTACCTTAATATTTGCATAAGTATTATATAGCTTAATCTATTCGGGATCATAACAGAGTAGTAAATCCACTAAAGAAAAAGCTAAGCACTTAATTCCCCCAAATCTCAATGCCATCCTAAAAGAGCTAATTGGAACTATTGACATTTTTAATAAAGTAATTTATTCCTACATCAGATTTCTAAGTTTACCTATAATATAATCAGTGAATTAAAACAATGATTTGAGGGATTTTTATGCTATCAGGACCATCAAATCTTAGATTCAAAATGTAGAATTTGATGTGGGAATATTACTACTAAGCTTTCTTATTAGTGGTGGCAAAATTAAAATTCCATTCAATCCTTGAGTCTAATTCCATTGCCACTCCACTCTAGGATAGAATAAGACAGAAAAATATCATGGAATGTGGGTCTCCAACTCCAGGCTCCAGGCAGATGTGCTTCATACTTCAGTGAGAGCCACCCTAAGTCAAGTTTGCTTGATCCACAAATTCAACTATATTCTGAATTTACTTATATTCAATTATATTCTGAATTTGTGTTCTGTGAAGGTACCACAGTAGTTTTTTTTTGTTTGTTTTAAAGATTTATTTATTTATACAAGCACTGGGTACAATCAGAAGCTCAGGAGGGTGGAGAATTCACCAGAGCCAGAGTGGGGAGCAGAGCAGGCAGACTGACGAAGTACACTGCTGAGGGGAGCAGCGAGCAGCAGGAGAGGTCTGTGCGCCATGTGGGACCCTCACTGGCGGCTGGGTATTGAACCGGTGCTGCAGAGGCTGCGGGCAGCTTCGCAGCCCAGTGCTCAACCGCCAGGGAGTCCCACCAGGGAGTCCCACCACAGTAGTTTTGATGATTATACTTTTAATAGATTTCATTACTTAATACTGAATAATATTTTTCTACTTAGGGTTTTTATGTCGAGACCATATTGTTTTTAGTACTGCTTTTTTATAGTGTAGTTTAAAGTCAGGTAACATGATACCTGCATTTCTTTATCCTCAGGATTGCTCTTGCTATTGGAGGCCTTTCATGATTTCATGAAAATTTCTATATGTTTTATTTAATTTCTTTGAAGAATGGTGCTGGTGCTTTGGTGAGGGTTGTGTTAAATTTATGTATCACGTTAGGTACTGTAGTTCATTTTTATTATGTCAATTTTCCCCAAGACACCAGGGATGTCTTTCCATCTCTTCATTGTAATCTCTTAGGATCCTTTATATTTCTGTGCCACCTGTGGTAATTTCTCCTGTTTCATTTATGATTCTGTCTAGTAATGTTTTGTCTTCTTAGTTAGCCACGCCTAGCTAGAGATTTGTCTATTTTGTTTAGTGTCTCAAACAATCAACCCTTTAATTGATCTTTTCTTTAGTCTTTTTTAATCTCTATTTATTTCTACTCAGTGTTTTTATTATTTTTTTTAATAAGGGTGAAGTCAGTAAAAGAGTCTTCTATTTATTTATTTTTAAGATTTATTTATTTATACAAGCACTGGGTACAGTCAGAAGCGTGGGAGGGTGAGAGAATTCACCAGAGCCAGAGGGGAGAGAAGAGCAGACAGACTGACGAAGTACACTGCTGAGGGGAGCAGCGGGCGGCAAGAGAGGTCTGCACGCATTGTGGGACCCTCGCCCCGCGGCCAGGGATTGAACCGGCGCTGCCAGGCAGCTTCGCAAGGCAGTGCTCAACCAGCCGGGAGGCCCTGTTTTTATTATTTCTTCCCTTCCAACTTTAGGTGATCTTTGTTCCCCTCTTTCAAGTCAGCATAGGTGTAGCATTAAATTGTTTATTTGGAATTTTTCTAGTTTCTTAATGTGATGTTTTATTCCTGTTATCTTTTCTTGACACCCCTTTTGGTGCATCCCATAGATTCTGGTAACTTGTATCTTAATTAGTCTCAAGGTATTTTTTATTTGTTTTAATTTCCTTTTTTAGTCAGTAACGTTCAACAGCATATTGTTCAGGCTCCATGTATTTATATTTTCTTTCTTTTTTTTAAGTTGATTTCTAGGTTAATGGCATTACAGTGAGAAAGAATATTTGATATGAATTTGACATTTGTGGTTTTACTCACAATCAACTGTTCAATCATGTGATCTGTTCTTGCAAATGTTTCATGTACACTTAAAGCAATGAGGGTTTTGGGTAGAGTTTTCTATAAATATCTGTTAAGCCTAAACTATAAATCAGAGACACTGTGCAGGGGAGGGGGAGGGAGAGGGATCAAAACTGGGGAGGGAAGAGCACAAGGGATTACAGTGATGGTGCACCGGTGAATTGGTGGTGGGAATTATATAGGACTACACCTGAGAGGAGAAAGCATACATTGTACAAAAAGGAAGAATGATGTAAAATGTATATAAAATTTTTTAAAATGTCTATGTGTGTATATATATCTATATATGTTAAGCCTATATGGCAAGTCTACCGTCTCTAGCAAAATAGGGGTAGTGCTAAAATGGTACCAGCTATATCCAGCTCCAATATGGTTGAGTATAAGAACAGAGATGGGCTCTGTCAGGGTCTCCCTTCCTGTAATGAGCTCCTGCAGACTCTTGCCCCCCGAACAGATCCTTTAAGAGTAGCTAATGAATCATCTTCTTGTATGACTTAAGTACTTTTCAAATAGTCTCTTTTGCGTTGGTCCCCAAGATAATTCTGCACACTTGGCCTTTTAGACTCTCCCATTACCTTCCTCCCTCTTGGGTCTCCTGGTTTCAAGCCTCTTTGATATTCAAAGTTAGTTATTTGGGGGGCTTTTCTTTTCAGTGAGGGTCCCTAAGTGTTGTGGTGCCTGGCGTGGGAACAAGATCCTCACTGTTCAGAAGGAAGGTCCTTATTTATGAGATCCCTCCCATTCTGTGGGTTGCTGCAACTGGAGGTGGAGTTTTTGGTTTTTTTTTTTTAATTTATGCATACAAGAACTGGGGTACAGACTTCAGGTGTGGGAGGGTGAGAGGATTCACCGGAGACAGAATGGGGAACAGAACAGGAGGATTGACTGAAATACCCTGCTGAGGGGAGCAGCAGGCGAGACAGGAGAGGTCTGCTGCGCCATATTGGTACCTCCCTGGCCGGCTGGGGATCGAACTTGTGCTGCAGAGGCCGCGGATAGCTTCATAGTGCAGTGCTTAACCCCTTGCGCAAGTAGGAGGCCCCTGGAGGTGGAGTTTTTTTGCAAAACCAAGTCTCTACCTCTCCTACCCATTTTGGTGTGGTCCTTTTGGCTCTTGTTCTGGAAGAGCTGTTCATGTTATTCTTAGATCTTTTTCAGAAAGAATTTGTCCACATATGCTTATTTGATGTGTCTGTGAGAAAAGGTGAGTGCAGGAACTTTCTCTACCATTTTGATCTGCCTCCAGAGGCCATCTTTTCTTTCACATATTCTATGTAGTGCCAAATATAGAAGAAATTCTCAGAAGCTTAGACAAAATTAATCATATTATGCTGATAAGGGATCGTTATTTAATTTATTTTTTGTTAAAGATTTTATTAATTTATGCATACAATAACTGGTGTGTAAGGCCAGAGTTGTGGGGGGTGAGAGGATTCACCAGAGACAGAGTGGGAGGTAGAACGGGCAGATATACTGAAATATACTGCAGAGGGGAGCAGCAGGCAAGACAGGAGAGGTCTGCTTGGGCGTGTGGGTTAGCCCCTGCTAGGGAGCCAGGGATGGAACTCAAGCTGCAGTGGCTGGTGATAACTTAATAGTGCTGAGACTTTAACCCCAGCATCACCAGGGAGACTCCGGGATCTTATTTTAACAATAATTTTGCCTGTTTTGTTTCTACCTGACTTCTGAGTCTTATCTAGTACCCTGTAATTTTCTGGTTACAGAAATCAAAATCAAAGCAATAAAAAAAAAATCTCTTTCTATTAGATATTTTTTAAAACATTATTTATTGAGGAACTCTTTAGAGGTTAACTACTGTTTTATTAGGATTCTTTCAATAAAAAGATCTCCACATTTATTTCTCAAATATTTTTTCTTCCTTGAATCGCCTACTCTTTTTATTTTGATATTTCAGATATATAAGTTTCATGTTTTTGTTTTGTTTTTACTTAGCCAACATTATAGCTTGTAGCTTAACAAATTCAATTCAAAACGTTTCATGAAAACAGTTTCAAGTCAAGGCATGGCATTCCATCGGTCATGGGTTATTTTAATGTTGCTTTCTAGGAAATAACAGTACAACAATTAATGGCTCATTTGGACTCCATCAGGAAAGACATGGTTATCCTAGAGAAAAGTGAATTTGCAAATCTGAGAGCAGAGAACCAGGTGATACAAATTTTGCTTTATTGCTCATAAAATTACTGATCTCATACAGATCTTAACTTGATGACTAATAAGACCAAATAAATCTTTATGTGGTTATTAAATAGTTACAAACAGGCTTTTGATAAAAGTTACTCTCTGTTTAATCGTACCAGATCTATGTATAAATCATAATTTCTTGCATAGTAAAGAATAAAAGCTGTATCTTCTACATGTAAAAGTCACGTGAGAAAAATTACATAACTATATAAAATTTTTAGTATAACTTATATAATGTTCTCCACTGAAAGTAATATGACCTTTTCTATTTTATTTGATCCAATACTGATTATTTTTGTGACTTAAGAAAAAGTAATTCAGTTAGATTTTGTTGTAAATAACTTTATTATTTTTCAATTTAGAGTATCATTTTTACAAAGTAGATTTTAAAACATATATTTTCTGATGTGCTCATAAGAATTTTTGCATCATATGAAATTGTTTCTTTTTGTATTTATTTTTAATCAAATTTTGTATTAGAAATCTGTAGATTCCAATTTGTACTAATCTGGGGTTTCAGGGTTTTTTAAATGAATCATAATACAGGCTTTTTGGTTTTAATGCTAATTGCACACAATCTTTCTTACACCTAGAAAATGAAAATTGAATTAGAACAAGTTAAGCAACAACTGATAGTAAGTGAGACTTTTTGCCCACTTCAGAATATTTTACGAGTTTCAGAACAAATAGATATTACAAGCTTACTTTTTTAATGTTTTTGTTTTCTTTAAAGAATGAAACCAGTCGAATCAGAGCAGATAATAAACTGGACATCAACCTAGAAAGGAGCAGAGTAACCGATATGGTAGTGTGCTTCTAAACAGTGTTCCTTTTTAATACCTTTTAGTCTTTTTTAAAAATCTTCTGATATATCATATCCTTTAGTTTACAGATCAAGAAAAGAAACTTATGGAAGCAACCACAGAATTTACCCATAAAGTAAGATAACATGTAAAAATTTCTGGTGTACTGCTATCCTGCATATGTAACCGCTTTTATGTGTTTCATTTTATAAGTTTGGAATTTAAAAATGTAGCCCTACAGGACCCATCATTCACTTAAATATTATAGTTAACCAATACTGTGGATGGCCGCCCCTGAGCTGTGACTTCTGAGTCACACTCAAGCTTTCCAAAAAGTCAAATCATCATTATATAGAAAGGAACTTTTTTTTTTTTTTAATGAGGATTCACAATCAGTATTCAAATGAGGACAAAGGTCCAATTGAAGAATCATTTTTAAAATAATAGTAAATATTTTTTATCAAGTATCAAATACTGTTTTACTTCTATTAATTTATTTATCTTCATATGAACTTCTGTGAAGTAAGGAGGCATTTTTATTCTCCTTTTATCAATTTGGAACATCAAGCACAGGGGGGCTAAGGTCCCAGAGCTAGTGAATTGGGAAAGCTGGGATATGAATCTGGACTCTAAACCCCATACTTATAGCTACTCTTTACTTTTCTCAGTAATTATAAACTAAAAAAATGACTTAATATCTATGATTTCAGTAAAACCCAGCTTTCTGACTCAGCTTAGTCCTTACTTAAAAGTTAAAAACCATTTGGTCTGTATTCTAACAGAGGAGGCGTGAATCTTGTTTATACCGCAGGTCCTAGGATAACAGTGTCATTTAGCTTTAACTTTGATGAGGAGAAATACCGTCCCTGTAAACAGTGAGTGAAACAGCTTTGAGGACCTGCTTTCCGTTTCTAAGAACCCATCTGTGAGTGCTGTAATTTGACAGAAAGGGTGGTCCCATTTGTCAAGGGTGGTCCCACTTTGAAGCATCCTATTCTCCTCTTAGCCATTAAAAGGATATAAGCAAGGAAGTCGCCCAATTCACTGCTTATTTCTAATCTCTAAGTATCACCTTGTCTCCTCCAGCTCCTTACTCCCTATCCAAATAGCATTCAGTGTCACCTGGCAAGAATTTCTGTCGTTTCCTTACAAGATAGGTGCCAATTCATATTGTAAACCTCGTTGGGTTTTTTCTTTTGCAAAATCTGTTTAAAGTGTTATCTATGCTTTCCTGCAGACTTAGGAAAGCCCTTCTAGGACTAAATTTTTGTCTTTATCATCTAACATATTTATGTCTCAAATAAGTAGTAGTCTCCAAATATCAAAATAAAAGGAATATTTTTTGTCAGTTTGTAATATTCATGTATTGTTAGTTTTTTATATTACTGTGCTTTTGCTGTTTCCCTAATCAAGATTTTTCTAATATACAGTTAGCCCATAAGTAGGGTTTCTAATGTAAAAACTTTTGTATCTACTTTTTGCATATAGTGACAAAACTTAATTGTCTTATTCTTATTTACTGTAGGATACCAAAACCAAAAGTATTGTTTCAGAGACCTGTAATAAAATTGATACTGAAATTGCTTCTTTAAAAACATTGATGGAATCTAACAAACTTGAGACAATTCGTTATCTTGCAGGTAAGGCTGTGTTTGTCAGAAAGGAATTTTTAGACATGTTAGCTCCTGCCTCCTAACATAACCACAACCAGCACAGAAGGGAAAATAGAGCAGATTTCTTTTATTGGTTGGTCCCCTGCAGTGTTTGTAGACGTAAGATTAATAGACTATATGTTTAGGATATAAGTTTAACAAGAAACCCTGCAGCTTCTTAATAGGAAAAAATATGAATATTAAAAAATACATAAACACAGTATTTTAAAATGATACAAAGATAAAATATATAATCTGCAATGAAAAGAAAATTTTATTGCGGCACTCTGTCAAAGGACTTGAGTGGACTTAATGGAGAAAGGTCACTAAAATAGATATATGATATTAAAAAACCATAGCAAGCAAAAGGGAAGGTATTATCTCCTACCTTGAGTCCCACTGATTTAAACACAGATACCATCCCAAAATTAGGTTGTCATACTCTGAGCTGACTCAGATACCCAAGGAGTTCAGAGGAATGCTAGAGTCAAGTGCTGTTTTTCCTTTTTCTTACTTTTTATAAGTAAAATACTTTCCATATAAATTGTTCATATAATTCAGAAGCAGTATAATAAAGTGAACATTTTTTACACCCTCCCCATATGTGTTGACGGTTAGCAGTATATATCTTTCTAGGCTTTTTCCTCTGTATGTAACCATAACAGATTTTTTAAATAATAACTAGATCATATTATAGAGACTAACTTTTTTAAGTCAGTGAAGGTTTATTCTATGGTGGTTTTCTGCTAGTGTATTAGTTCACAGTAATTTACAGATTTTTTTTTAAACTGAGGCAACATTGGTTTATAACATATAATTATCAGGTATATAATTCAGCATGCTGTGTCTATAACATCATGATCACCACAAAAGTCTGCTTTCCATCTGCTGCCATACAGTTGACTCCCTTCACCACTTTACCTACCCCACCCCCATGCTCCTCCCCCAGATAACCACCAGTCTGTTCTCTGTATGGTCAGTCACACATTACTTAACAATGGGGGTATATTCAGAGAAAGGCATCACTAGACAATTTTATCATCACAGAAAGTACATACAGAAACCTACTAGACACCTCAACTACAAGCTACATACAACCTGTTGGGACCACCATCATACGTGCAGTCTATAGTTGACTGAATCGTCATTAAGCAACACATGACTATGTTTGTTTCTGTTTTGTTGCTTGATTTCTTTGTATATTCCATGTGAAATGAAATCATATGATACTTGTCTTTTTCTTTCTTATTTCACTTAAAATACTCTCAAGTCCATCCATGTTGTCATAAATGGCAAGAAGGCTTATGGTAGCCTACTGTAGCATTATATGAAAATGCCATCCTTTATCCAACCACTACTGACAAACATTCTGCTTCCAGCTTTTTATTAAGAATTATATTGAACCAAACAGCCTTGTTTGTGTGTGTTTGAATAAATAAACACAAACACACAGATCTCTATGCCTTTATATTGGTCTTCCTGTATAATATATTGCTATATACTTCTAAAATTTTGGATCAAAAAGACACACATTTTTAAGTATATTTAAAAAAATAAAATTGCTTATTTATACCATCAGTTGTGTTCTGTATAGCCACTAGTTTTGTTGCGTTGGTGGCTCCATCTTTACTCCACATACCAGTGCAACGATTCTTAAATTTTGGACTTTTACTAAAGACTCACTTAAAAGAAAGGGTTCTGAGACTATTTGAAACCCCTCTCCTAGCAAAGTCTCTGGAATCAGAGATCTTTAGTTCAATACGTGTGCTCAGGGGAAATTTTGAAACAGCACTGTTTGGAATGTTTGTCCCTGCTTTCAAATTGGATCGCAGTTCAACCCAGCTTAGAATAGCTTCAAATTCCATTCAGCGTAGTTTAAGTATTTACCTAAAGAGTCAATATTTTACTTAAAAATAAAATCCTTTTCACTCTGTTTGAAAATGGTGATGCTTTCAAGAAAGTTTCATTCAGTAGTGTGTATATATGTGTATGCACACACACAGGTTGATTCTAATAGACCAGTTAGTGGCTGTGGCAAAGGAAATTAGCAACATATTGTTTGGATAATTACCTTTCTAAGTTATTTTCCCTCCTTTTTTTCACTGAGGATTTGCAACAAGTGGGCTGTAGGCATTTTTTCCTCTTTCCTTACCCTCTCCAAATATATGTGACTGCTGCATGAAATGCCTAGAAGTGCAATAACTGGGTCATGTGGTGTCACTATTTTTAATTCTTTGAAAAATGTCCTTAATGTTTTCCATGGTGGCTACATCAGTTTATATTCCCAAAAATAATGTATAAGTTTCTGTTTCCTGTACATGTGCATCAACACTTTTTGTTTATAGTCTTTTCAATAATAGCCATTCTAATAGATGTTAAATGGCATCTTATTGTGGTTTTGCGGTGCATCTTCCTTATTATTAGGTGTTGCTGAGCATTTTTCATATCCCTGTTGACCACCTGTATGTCTTTAGAAAAGTAGTCATTCTTCTGCCTATTTTTTTATTTGATTGTGTGGGGTTTTGTTGTTGAGCTATATGAGTTCTGATTTCCATGATAACCTCTTTCAGATATATTACCTGGAAATATCTTCTAGCAATCAATAGATCATCTTTTCATTTTTGTAGTGGTTTCACTGCACAGAAACATTTTAGTTCAGTGTAGTCCCACTTGTTTATTTTTCCCTGTTTCCCTTGACATTGGGGTCGGGATCCCAAAGACATCACTAAGACTGATGTCAGAGGAAGTGTCACCTGTGTTTTCTTCTATGTAGTTTGTGTTTTCAGGTCTTACATCTAAGCATTTATTCCATTTTGATTTAAATTTGGTGTATTGGTATAAGATAGTGATCTAGTTTCACTACTTTGAATGTGGTCATCCAATTCTCCCAACACTATTAAAGAGACTTTCCTTTCTCCATTGTCTGTTACTGGCTTCTTTGATGTAAAATCATTGTCCTGTCAGTTTATGTCTGGGCTGTTACTTCTGTTCCATGAACCTCTGCCCTTTCTTACTCCAATCATAATATTCTCATTACTATTGCTTTATAGTATAGTTTGAAGTCAGGGAAACAGGTTAATACCTCTACTTTTGGGGCCTCCCCTGGTGGCACAGTGGTTGAGCGCTGGGCTGCGAAGCTGCCTGCTGCAGGGCTGGTTCGATCCCCGGCCACTGGCGAGGGCCCCACATGGTGCGCAGACCTCTCCTGCTGCCCGCTGCTCCCCTCAGCAGTGTACTTTGTCGGTCTGCCTGTTCTGTTCCCTGCTCTGGCTCTGGTGAATTCGCTCACCCTCCCGTGCTTCTGACTGTACCCAGTGCTTGTATAAATAAATAAATAAATAAATAAATAAATAAATAAATAAATAAATAAATCTTTAAAAAAAAGAAATTAAAAAAAATACCTCTACTTTTCTTTTTTCTCAGGATTGTTTTGGCTGTTGGGGTCTTTTAAAGTTCCTTACAAATTTTAGTATTTTTTTCTGTTTCCTTGAATAATGCCATTTGCGTTTTGATAGAAATTGCTTTAAATATATGTATTGCCTTCAGTAAAATACTAATTTTGGCAATATTATATCTTTCAATTATGAACAAGAAATGTCTATTTCTTTGTCTCTTTTCATAATAGCTTATAATTTTCAGTGCAAATGCCTTTCACTTCATTAAGTTTTTTCTCAGTATTTTATCCTTTTCAATACAATTATGAATGGAATTGTTCTCTTAATTTTTCTTACCTCTAATTCATTGTTGCATATAAAAACAGATAGCTGTAGATTGATTTTGTATCCTGCTACTTTATTGTATTCATTTATTGTTTCTAATAGCTTTTTAGTGGCATCTTCAGGGTTTTCTCTACATATTATGTCATCTACAAATAGTGATAGTTCTATTTTTTTTTAATTTATGTTTAGGTAGCAGTTTTCATTGTTGTTTGTATTCTGAAAGTATAAGATCCCCACATCTCCAAAGTAGCTAAAGTCCACCACCATCGTCCATTGTGCTTCTTCCCTACTTTTTGCTCAGTCCCCTCCCTTCCCCTCTGGACATCTCAGTTCTATAGTCTTGCTTAAAAATCTAGTTTTTGGGTTTGGCTTTATCTGACCTTTTGTCTGGTTTCTCTGTATTCCACATATAAGTGACACCATCCATTTTCTTGTCTTTTTCCTTCTGACATATGTCACTGAGCATAATGCCTTCCAGCTCCATCCACATTGTTGCAAATGGCCTGAGTTTATCTTTTTTTGATTGCCGAATAGTACTCCACTGTATATATATTATATACCCCATCTTCCTGATCCACTTATCTGTTAGGGGTCACTTAGGTTTGTTTATATAATTTGGTTATTGTAAATAATGCTGTAATGAACACGAGAGAGGGAGTTTCACTTGGAATTAGTGGCAGGTAGAAACACAATGAAAAAGAAAAAATGGAGATACAGAACAATCAGGAAGCAAAAAATAAAATGGCAGTAGTAAGTCCTCCTATGCAGAAATCACCCTAAATGTAAATGGATTGAATTCACAATCAAAAAGCACAGAGTGGTTGCTGCATGGATTAAAAACAAAACCCAACTATAAATGCTGCCTTTCATAGACTCACTTAACTCCAGAGATAAAACAATCTATCCTTCTCAAAATCTTCTAGAAAATTAAAGAGGAATAAATGCTCCCTAACTTGTTTTATGAGGCAAACATTAGATTGATACCAAAACCAGAAAATGTCAACAGGGAAAGAAAAAAGAAAAGTATAGGACAATATCTGATGAGCATAGATACAAAACTCCTCAACAAAATATTAGCCAGCCAATCACACCAAAAGGACTGTACACCACGGTAAAGTGGGATTTACCATCCAGGAATGCAAAAAGGTCAACATCTGCAAATCAATCAGTGTGATACACTGCATTAATAAAATGAAGGATTAAAAAAAACAGATCAGTAATTGAAGGAAAAGCATTTGACAAGATTGATTTTAAAGTCTCAATAAAATGGGTAAAGAAGACACGTACCTTAAAAAATACAGGCTTTGAATGACAGTTCAACAGCTATCATCATAATGGTTAGAAACTGAAAACTTTTCCTCTAAAATCAGAAACAAGGTAAGTATTCCCACTCTAAGCACTTTTATTCAATGTAGTATAGGAAGCGCCAACCAGAGCAATTAGGGGAGAAAAAGAAAATGCATCCATATTGGAAAGGAAAAAATAATAATAAGTGAATACAGTAAAGTTACAGGGTACAAAGCCAATACACAAAAATCAGTTGCATTTCCATACACTAAATGAGCTATCAGAGAAATTAATAAAACACTCCCACTTACAATCACATCAAAAAGCCAAAAGTGGGGTTTTGATGCAACCTATGAAGCTGTCCACAGCCATTGCAGAATGAGTTCAATACCCGGCCAGGGAGCTACCCACATGGCGCAGCAGACCTCTCCTGTCTCACCCGCTGCTCCCCTCGGCAGTGTATTTCGTCAGTCTGCCTGTTGTGCTCCGCACTGTCTCTGGTGAATCCTCTCACCCTCCCACACTGCTGGCCTATATGCAAAAACAAATAAATCTTTAAAAAAAAAAAAAAAAAAGAAAAAGACAAACATACCAAGAAGGTGAAAGACTGATACACAGAAAACTATAAGACATTGTTTTACCCAGATAAAGAAATTGAAGATTCAAGAAAACGGAAAAATATCCTGTGTGCATGGATTGAAAGAATTAACATTGATAAAAATGTCCATTTTACCCAAAATAACTTAAAATTCAGTGCAATTCACATCAAAATCCCAGTGGCATTTTTTCACAAAAATAGAAAAAATACTAAAATTTATGAACAGGTTGATTACCGGAGGGAAAGAGGAGGAAACAGGTAAAGAGGAAACTCTATGATGACAAAAAAGAGTTATGACAGCAAGCATGCTGTAACATAAAGATGCTGAATTATAATATCGTGTACCTAAAGCTTATGTAATGTTACATCAATAAAAAATGCCCTACTAATAAAGTTTTTCACTTATTACAAGATCTGAAATTAAAGTTCCATAATCTTTGTTAATAATGGTAATGTTGGGCCTCCCCTGGTGGCGCAACGGTTGAGCGCTGGGCTGCAAGGCTTCCCGCTGCCTCTGCAGCACCGGTTCGTTCCCCTGCCGCCGGCGAGGGTCCCACAAAAAAAAATAATAATAGTAATGGTAATGTTAATGACTTAAAACATGATGGATTCTAAGTAACATATAATCTACATTTTAAAATTACTACCGTCCCTATTCTGTCTTTTAGGAAGATTTTAAGAATTGGTATTAATCCTGCCCTAAAGGATACTCTGTTCTTAAGCTTAATTTTCTAGGGAATGCAAAACTTAAGGTAGAAATGGATTCGCTTTCCTTTACTTCTTGTTCTTCATTCAAATTAAAGATGACATCATTTCTGTTTGTCTTTGTAAAATAATCACAAATGTCCATCTTTTCTTTTCACAGCCTCGGTGTTTACCTGCCTGGCAATAGCATTGGGGTTTTACAGAGTCTGGAAATAGCAGTGAAACTAGTGCATTAAACTCCGCCTGTTGCCGCTATTGACTTCTTAGAACACTACGCCAAGAAACGTTTACTTTTTCGAATACTGAAAAGTTGCAGCAGAATCTTTATACAAGATTATTCAAAGTACCTATGGGCTACAAAGAAATGTTGTAGAATGGGAAGATGTATTTTGTCTTTGTTTTGTGTTTGTATCTTTATTATGTTGAAAGCTGCCAGAAAAAACCTGATTGAGATCGAAAGGACTTTTGATTTATCATTTTGATAAGTCTAAAAAGCCAGCTAGATTCTTCTTGTTTACTTGGACCATGTAAATCTTAAAGAATTTACTTGGTATCCTTTGCAGATTTGAAAAGTATTCTCAAGCCAACATACTTGTTTTACTGTATTGAACTTTGCTGAAAACTATTATCTTTTCATATAAAATAAAATGCTAACATAACAAAGTTTGTTTTAAAAGTTACTTCTGTGTTTTAGATTTTTTTTTGGTAGTGAAATGTTTTAAAATAATGTATTCACTAGTACAAGTGTATGGTATTAGGTATAAAATCTGTATTACGTAATCTCTAGTCTCCTGAAATTTATGGGGAATTTCATGTTTTTACCTTGTTATTGGGCCTACTATATTATTTGCTTAAGCAATAGTACCTATTAATAATATATTTGCAGTTTAAAGAGAAGTACAAAATACCATTTTTATCTTAGGTCCTTAGTTTTACCCAGATAAAGAAACCAGGGTTAGTAAGTGCTAAACATTTCAAAAGATTTCATAATACTTTGACAATAACTTTAAAGATTTCATAATTCAGTATTCAACATAATCTCATTGCTTGTTGACTTATAAATAGGGAAACTGAGGTACAGGGCAGTTAAGAGACTAGTCCTTATGGTTGAATCAGAGGCTTTCCAACTGAATTTTCTTCAAAGATCATACCTTGTGGATAAATTTTTATTGGTTTTACCAATAAAGACCATACAGTCCCTTTGTAACAAAACCTACAGTGTATCTGCTTGCTGCATGAATAACACTGCCTGCTGTGTGCCAGACAACATGCTGGTCCCCGTGTCACAGAGGTGGACATTGTTTCACGCTCATGAAACTGATGATTTTAGTGAAGACAGACAATAAACAAATAAATGATTGGTTTGTTATAAGTTATGCCAAAATATTGAGGGGAAATACTTCCCTCTATATGAAGGAAGCTTCATAGCATATTTTTTTTGACACTTCTCGCATTCATTGACCCCAGCGTGAAGTGAAGTGAAAGGAGTGACAAATCCCAAGCAGCCCAGCCACCGCTTTCCCCACTGGTGTGGCACCAGACTGTCTGCAGAGAACACGATGCTTTGCTCCGTGGGGATCAGTTTCGCCTCTGCTGCTAAGCCTGCCCCTCGTCCAGTGATGCTTTGGGAGAGAGTGAGTCGCTCCAGCTCTGAGGTCAGTGACAAGAAGTTGGCTAAACTGAAAGTATTAACCATATTTTCCACCTTCATCCACACTTTTACCAGTTTTATTAGTAAATAAAGGTGCTATTGAGGCCACTTGTTCTTATCTCAGGTTCATAACCCAGAGGCAGGAGCGCCACTGACTGGATCTCTTCAAACCTCAGTGAATAAAGATGCATGTATCCCGTCATGGGCATGTATCATGAAACAGATTTTGTTCATTCTTTCAGGGACTTAGCAAGTGAAGTGCTTCCAATAATGAAATAGAAATCTACACACACCATACCCTCTTCCCATTACTGCCAGAACCTGTATTTTTTTCCTTAGAGACTTCATTTTGGTGGTAGTTTTAGATTTTAGATAGACTTTTGTTTAAGGAATGGAAATATCTGGGGGGGGGGGTGCGGGGAAAGTGTGTTCCCACATACCTCAAAACTACCTGGGCTCCAGCTCCTGCACCACTGTGTAGACTTGCTTTTGTTGTTTACATCTGTTTCATATGCTAAACTGAGTCCCCAAGAGGTCTCCTGGCATATATGAAGGTGCTTGGTAAATGTGTCCAGAATAAATGATATAAATACACCCAATTCACCTTAATCCAAAATTTTAAATATTTTATTTTGGTTATGTTGAGGACATTTCATTTTTACTGCGTTTCTGAGAACACTAAACTTTGGGGGGCATTTTCTGCAAGTAGTAAGAAGCCTCCAAGAGGACTAGCTACCTTTTCTCCTTGCTTATGGCCTCAGATCCTAATTTACTCATTCACGCTACTTGGTGGTGCAATAAAATAAATGAGGCAAGATTATATAAGGACTAGTTAAAAGTCAATGAAAATTTTTAACCATTTCGAAAAACAATCCAAACTTATAATACCCATTTTGTTATACTTTAACAATTTAGACATGTGATAGCATTTTAAATATTTTTTAATATAAAGAAAAAATTGGCAGGTTATGCTGAAATTAGTGGTGGTCATTTTGTAGAATAATAGCGCCCATTGACTGACTATAAACAACAGCTAAATAACAAGTATGAACTCATCTATTTCTCACTGCAGTCCTCTTAGGGAGGTGGGATAATCACTTCACAGACGAAGAAACAAACTAAGTCAAGTAACTAGCCAAGGCCATGCATTTGGAAAGTCACACAGACTTCAATTCAAAATCTCACGCTCTTAATACCCTAGTGATCCGCTGTCCCAAGAGATGGAAAAGCTACTGAAGCTTGGAAGCAAAATATCAGAATTTCTACTGGTTTCTCTTTTATACCTTTTCACTTCTTTTTTTGTGTTTCATTAACATAATGTAGCAAAATAAATATTTGATGCTTGATCCCAATTTCTGGCACAGAGCTCCTAAAACTCATACTTTTCTGAGTGCTGGGGGTGGTTAGGAGTTTCCTTTGTTTCCTAGGCATACAGCTTCTAAGACCCTTGGACTCTCCAGAGTGGTAAGAGCATCTTGTCAACAAAGGAACTGTTTGGAAGTTAGTCCTTACTTACCCTAAGCAGCCACAGCCCAGGTAAATCCTAACACTATGGAAAACGGGAAAAACAGGTAACTGGTGACCTCCAGAGAGCCTCCCCACCAAGTGTGTTCTCCTATTACAATACTCTGCTAATATTTCTTTTTTTCTATCTGAAAATTTTACTCCTTTGTGGTAAAAACATATACTCCAGCAAATAAACAGCTCCTTTTGTACCATTCTTTAAAGCCTAACCTGCCATCTTCTTAAGATGCTCTCAGTTTTTGATAAATGTTCAGATGTAAGGTTAGTAACTTTAAGTAAAATCACTCTAGAAACTATATATGGTACGTTAGAACAATTATATTCTCTCTTAAAGAGGTAAAGTTAACTCCTTTTCAGAATGTAAAAACAACAAAAGCATGGATGACAATTCACTAGACTTGAAATGCTTTGTTAATGCAATAAATTTGCACTGGATCGAAAAAGTTGTGAATTGTTTAAAAATGATCTTCATTAAACTATGCTTTTAAAGTTATCCTTTTAACACGTGGCATGTGCCCATTTTTACAAAGGCACTTCTTGTGTATTCTTCAAAATAAAGTGTAAAAATTAATATTGTCATTTATTTTCCTGTGTCACTAGTATAGAGGGAAGCAGGGCCTTCCTGGTGGTGCAGAGGTTAAGTCTCTGCACTATCACGCTATTGCCACCCACTGCAGCATGTGTCTGATCCCAGGCCAAGGAGCTAACCCACATGGCACAGCAGACCTCTCCTGTCTCCCCGCTGCTCCCCTCAGCAGTGTATTTCAGTAGATCCACCTGTTCTGCTCCCCACTCTGTCTCTGGTGACTCCTCTCACCGCCCCACCCCTTACACCTCCCCCCCACACCTCTGGCCTACACCCCAGCTCTTGTATGCATAAATAAGTAAAATAAATATTTAAAAAAATAACTGGAATAAGTATAACAAAGTATTTCCAGCACTAAGATTAACTTTAGGGTAACTAAGCTAGAAGGTAAATAGTCCTAGAAGGCCAAGGGAAATGTCGAATGTGGGGATTCCAAGAGTCTTTTAAGGAAACAGACTCTGGGGACCTCCCTGGTGGCGCAAGGGGTTAAGACGCAACCTATGAAGCTGTCCACAGCCACTGCAGCAAGATTTCAATCCCAGGCCAGGGAGCTACCCACATGGCGCAGCAGACCTCTCCTGTCTCACCCACTGTTCCCCTCATCAGTGTATTTCACAATCTGCCTGTTCTGTTCCCCACTCTGTCTCTGGTGAATCTTCTCACTCCCCACACCTCTGGCCTGTACCCCAGTTCTTGTATGCATAAATAAATAAATCTTAAAAAAAAAAAAAAAAAGACCGTGAACTTCCTGATTAGAATCCTATGGCACATATCTCTCACATATTTAAATGCCCAACAAATGTTAACAACTATTGTTTCCATAGATCGAAAACTTAAACTAGTAACATAAAGGTTATCATAATGATAGCTAAGCCAATTTCCTTGGCATTCGCTTACAGACCTTCGACTAGCCTGAACTGGTCTTAACCAAATGCACTCCTGTCAGGACAAGCTGCTGTTGGTGATTCTGGGTCAAGGTGACCTTTGTGATCATTTGAAGTGCACACCAGGGCCTAGCGTGTGGGCAGCCTGGTATATAGTGACAAGGCTATGGCTAGCAGTGCCCAAAGCTAGCAGTCAGATCTACAGGTGACCCAGGATCTAGACAAGTGCTCCAAGAGAGTTGAAAAAATTTCTAGCTTAAGTGGGGTAAGGGTGGGTGGGTAGGGAATGTGAGGGAATTGAAGTGAGAACTGAACTGAGAAATGCCATGGTGGTTTCTTTTCTTTTCTCTTTTTTTAAGATTTATGCATACAAGAACTGGCTACAGGCCAGAGGTGTAAGGGGTGAGAGGATTCACCAGAGACAGAGGGGTAACAGAACAGGCAGTTCAACTGAAACGCACTGCTGAGGGGAGCAGCAGGTGAGGCAGGAGAGGTCTGCTGCACCATGTGGGCAGCTTCCTGGCCAGGGATCGAACTCATGCTGCGGTGGCTGCAGACAGCTCCATAGGTTGCGTCGTAACCCTTGTGCCACCAGGGAGGTCCAGCCATGGCTGTTTCTGATCAGCAAAGTAGGGCAAAGGAAAAGAATAAAGCAGTGTCTTTTCATTCTGGCCACCTCTGTATTCCTTTTTTATAAAGCATGGAAAACCAATGATTAAAATTCTAAAGCAGATCATTTACATGCGTATTCTTAGCAAAGACATCTTAGGGATTTTTACTTCCTCTTACAAGAGTATATTTTCATTTCTGTAAAACTTTCCTGAGTAAGATACTTGGCTGTTGTAAAGTTGTCCTTTTCTAAAACTTACTGTTCTGATAATGTATTTATGACCTGCTGCAGGGGGCCTTGCTGCCCCAGCCAGGTAAGACACTGGCAAGCAGCTAAGAAAAGGGCTTCACACCGTGGGGCTGAAGAAAAAGGGCCTCACACCGTGGGGCCAAAGATTTCCAAAGAGCCTCACACCATGAAGCTGAAGATTAATCTATAATCTATATACATCCCTTTGTTTTTTGTTCTTAGTCATATAAGAAAAACTTCTCGGAAAATACATTGGGCAATAAAGTATATGTATAAGAATATTATAAGCACATGGCACGGAGAATTACCTGCTTAAAAATTAAACACTGTAAATTTGGCCTGCCTGACAAAGGGAAAGTTTGTTGTACATGAGCATGCATGACAAGCCATCCAGCACGATTATAGTAAGTCCTTCTTTTGCTTTTTTTTAAGAAGTTTCTTAGAAAAATTTTTAAATGAAGTTAACTGTATTAAGAAGTTTCTTGGGGGGCCTCCCCGGTGGCGCAGCGGTTGAGCGCTGGGCTGCGAGGCTGCCCGCAGCCTCTGCAGCGCCGGTTCGATCCCCGGCCACCGGGCGAGGGTCCCACAAGGCGCGCAGACCGCCCGCTGCTCCCCCCAGCAGTGTGTTTCGATTGTCTGCCTGTTCTGTTCCCTGCTCTGGCTCTGGTGAATTCTCTCACCCTCTCATGCTTCTGACTGTACCCAGTGCTTGTATAAATAAATAAATAAATCTTTAAAAAAAAAAAAAAAAAAAAAGAATATAGGTCTCCTTATTTAAAAAAAAAAAAAAAAAAGTTTCTTGGTAGAAAACCCTGTTAGCTGATAACCGAAAAGCAGCTGGTCTCCGGCTGAAGGCCATGTGAATAGAAGAGTCTTTGGATGCTTAGGCTTTCGCTGATAGGGGTGTACTGGCGGCTATCAACTGTCTTAGGTAATTGTCTAGCTAAAATAATAAGTTTTAGTGTAAGGCTTAGTTTTTTATCCATTAACCTTGAAGGTTGGTTGCCTTCTTGCAGAGAGCACGTAGCAGCCAAAAGTCTATGGGAAAAGAATGAACTGATTGTTTCTGCTTTGCTTCCATGCACATGATGACGTCATCTCACTGCTTGCAAAAAATGAATAAATAAAGACCTGCTGAGCCCCTCAGTAGAAGATACTTGCACCTCATCCAGTGTCAGTGTCTCCTCACTACCTCATCCCCTTCCCTTTAGCCCTTAAAGTTTTGCCTAGGCCGTCTCCTCCTTTCAGGGACTCCTGACACGACACTTTGCCAAGGCTGGTCGTTGGCAATGACCCAAGATCAGATGCTTTTTAAAATTCAATTCATTAGAAAAGTTATTAAAAATCATATCCTCTATAGTAGTAGTAAGTGGTATTATCTAGAAAGTTTTATAATTCTATTATAAAGCCATAATAGATTTTTCTAATAAGTTTAAATGTCTAGAATAATTTTTAGCATGTAGGACTGGACTGCAACATCATGTTATTTTAAAATTTATGGAAATACTTGCAAAATCAATTATCCATAAATCTAGTTTTTGACTTGCCTATGTAAATATGTCAAAAAATTATTGGGAGAGGGAATACAACTAACTCCACATAACTTTAACAATTCCTTTGTTATGGTAACACTTGTCTGTTTTCAGAATTGGAATAACATCATAACTTCTGAAAAGAGCTTATGTAGATTTACATTTATATCAATTTTAAAAAGAAGAGACAAATTAAGCAAGTTTATTTAAAGTTTATTACAGTGATTAATATCTTCTTACAAAAACTCCCCCAGAAGTCACTTTTTTCTTCACTCGCCGCTTCTCTTTGCTTGACTCACAAGAAGAGTCCTCTTCCTACAAAGGAAAAGAGCCAAATAAGATCTCAATGCTGGAAGAACATTTTCATCTTTTGTTTTGTCCATTCCAGAAGAAAGAAATTAACCATGCTAATATGTACAAGTCTGAATTAATTTTCTCTGGGGATTTTGTATAAATAAATTCTCAAAGTTTAAGTAACAATATTGGGTTAAATCATAAACTATGAGGCCAAGAAATCATCCAGTCCTTTCTCTACCTAATATAGCCCCCAGAGAGAACAGCTCATTTCTGTGTCTATCTTACAATAATTCACCATATATTGCTAAATGAAATATACAAAGGGTTAGAATGTCAGCTTCTGGATTTATAAGCCCCACTGGTATTAGGAAACACACTTCCTGGCTCCTTCATTCCCTCCTGTGTTCACACAACATCCCTCTCCAGCTCTTGTCTCATCTTTGTCCGCTATCCACTGTTTCTATTTCTCATCCATCGTAGTACTCATGTTTGCCCACCATCCACTTTGTACGACCTGGCACAGAGAATTCATGGGAAGGAGCAAGAGAGGGCTAGAAATACCCTGGGTGCTCACAAGATGTTTATCATCTTTAAGTAATTCTTCCAATCAAAAATGCTCTGCTGCCACTAGGCAAGACAGCCTGAAAGCAGGGCCTCCAAGAACAGCCAGAGCACTTGTCCACAGCCAGCCCACGGCTGAGCGGGTGCTTCCCAATGCTCTCCAGCCCACATCTTTGCTCGTGAGGTCAGTCAGTTTAAGTCATACAGCTGTGTGTGAACATGGACGTCCATTGCCATGATCTCAACACCACCTGGAAAAGACAGACTACAGACCTGTTCCCTCCCCCTCTCTCAGTTGCAAATTTAAAGAGATGGAGAATTTGCAAAAGGTAATATATACACTCTCCTCCTTTAAAAAGCTGGTCTGACACCTAATAGCAACAAACTTTTATTGAGACTTAGCACCTGGTGCCACTACATTTCATATTTTACATATATACAAGGTGATGCAGATGGTATTACCAACATTTTATAGATGCGGGAACAGAAGTCAAAAAGGTTAAACAAGCTGCCCCATGTTTACAAGCCTAAATGAGTGGCAGGATTCAAATTTGGATTTTGTATAACAAAAAAGTTCATGTTCTCCTAACCATTCTTCAATCCTATCTTCCAGCAAATACCAAAGCTTCTACCAACACCAAATATGTAACGGGGTTTACTCAATCTTTCATTTCCTATAATTATACTGTTTACTATATATACTATATGGTAAGTATGCAAATAAAAAAATAAGTAAGACCTGGTTCCCACTCAGGAATCTGTGGTGGAAGCAGCAGATATAAAATAAAGTGCTCAATTCACTGCCCAGGTTTCAGAAAGTCCCCAAGAGTATTTGGGAATGGATGCAAATATGTCCATGAAAGAAAGACAATAAGGTAGGGCAAGATTTTAACGTCATACAACGAGATGGAATTAGAGAAAGAGCATGAAAGATGTTGGAAAAGAGTAGAGCTATTTGTCAGAAGTATAGCCAATTTTCTAGTGCTTAACAGTTACTAGACCTCCATAAACAGATATATTTATTTTCCTTTACCTCTCTCATATACAGACTTCTAAAGGTTTTAAATATTCCAGATATTCTAGAAGTAATGGTTAAATATTAAAGCCTCTACTAACACCAAAAATATAACTTGCATCTTACTGTATAACTAGCTCAAAATGAAATATGTGATTGGCCTCAACAGGCCTCTGTTTAGAGTTGAAAGTTCCAAATTTTCAAATTCTAAAAGTTTCTACATTTGGTTACCATCTTCACTAAGTTACTCATTTTCTCATCATAAATTATAGCCAGAAATATGTTTTCCCCTAATATGTGTCTTTTCCTAAATTCAGGAATTGAATGATAATATTGAGATAATGAATATATGAATCATGGTGCTTAGGCATACATATATTTTTTGAATATAAATCAGTATTGTTTTGCTCTGACTTTACAAGTTTTTGTGGAAAAGATTAACAGTACCACACATGAAAGTATTGATAGGGTATATACATCTACAAAACATTACTTAGTTATATAGAATTCTTATTTTTAAAAATGCCATGCACTATGAGAAGTATATAAAACTAAAAAGGAGATACTTTCACCTTCTTGATTCCTAGTACTGACTCTTAACAGTGTCAATACAGTATAACAGAAAGAGAAAGAGAAATCGCAATTTCTAGTACTAGATTAAAAGCCCAGTTCGAGAAAACTCACTTAAGCCTTCAAGTTGCTCCAGGGATCATACAGGCTCATGGGCTAAGATGTCCAAGGACTGACATAAGCCCAGTGAACTGTGACCATGACAAAGTCCAACCCAGCTTCTTTATCAGGAGAAAGCAAGGGTAAGTTTAACAGGGAAGTAATCTTGGATGAGGTGGATTAGCGAGCATGTTGATTAGCAAGCATGTTGATCAGCAGGACCAAATCTTTAGCCCACCAACTTCCTGACTGACGCTGATTTGGGGGATGGAAGCCGTGAGAAGTTCAGTGCTATAGAAGTCTATGCGCAGACATCTCTGCCAGAATGATTATAGTTCCTGTCTAGTATAGAATTTCTAAGGTAAATGCTTTTATTTAAGTACAATATGCATACTAAAAAGAACAAAGAGGGGAAAATTTGCTGAATGTTATTCATAAATGAGTAAATTTCTACATTTAATAATACTAATAGCAAACATCCTTGTACATGTCTTTTAATGCCCATTTGTGTACATCAAGAGACATATACTAATTCCACTAGGAATTAATGAGTTGTAGCTAAGTGGATACACTGCCTTAGTAGACAGTGACATTTTCTAAAGTGATTAAGCCAATTTACATTTCCACAAGTAGCAGATAAGAGATTCCAATAGCTCCACATCCTCACCAACATTTGATAATGTCCATTTTGTCTTGTTTTGTTTTCATTTTAGTCACTCTGGTAATCTATATGGGCATCCCATTTGTGTTTTAATTTACATGTCTGAAAACTAATGATTCTGAATACATTTTCATGTTTATTAACCAAAAATCTTCCCCATTTTGTGAAATGTCTGTGCAAGGCTTGCTCAGTGGATTTTTGTTTGTTTTACTCGTTTTTTACTGAATTGTATTTTTCATAATGATTTTTTACACATTCTGGAACAAGGAAATACAGGGAAGGGAGAAGAAGGGGAAGGAAAAAGAAAATGGAAGAATGGAAACTTTTTTACTTTCTGGCTTGCCTTTTCAACCCATTTAATGTTGTTTTTAATGAACTGAAGTCTTATTTTAGTTCAGTCTATCAACTTTTTTTAATCCCATGTCAGAAAGAAACCCTACAGTGTTCCCTTTGAGTTGTTTTATCCACTTAACTTTAACTTTAAGGCACATCTTGAAATAAATGGTTGAGTTAATAAACATAACTCCAATATAAATAACATCTTAATGTATGTACTATAAATTTTATATTTAAAATTTCAAAACTAAATTAGCTCTATTAAAGAACTATCATCAAAAGTTTGAAAATATTTCAAAATACATCTTCTGATAAGCCCAGTGAGTGAGCAGGAAAGACAAGGGGTTATAACTGCAGTAGAAAGTGGTGCTAAAATCATGGACATGGGGCTAAGGCAGTTAGGTTCAGAAAGTGGCCACCCATGTAACAAGCCCTGGGACTTTACACAAAGTATTTTCTGAGATCTACTTATAAATTATAACTTATTTATACAATTAACATACTGCAATATACTAATAATATAAATTTAGATCTTATTTATAAAATGAAGCTAATACCTGCTGAATATGAAGCACTTGTACTGAACCTAACATAAAGGTACTCAGTAACTGTTGATGATGATGACAAAGATATTCTTATTGAGGTAAGTTAGATGATCTCATAGAACTTAAATTTTCAGGACTGTGGGTAAAGCAAATGCCCAATTAAACAGTAATGCAAATGATGGGGTACACTCAGAGCAGGTCAAAGGACTCAGTGAAAGGAGTGCTCATGTGTGGTCAGCAGGATTTGGAAAGGGTTGAAGAATAACATGGTTCCTAAGGGATTCTGAGAAGGAAAGTTGAGAAAGATATACATGAACAAACTAAACACTATATATGAACAAACTTTCAATACATATGAACAAACTAAACAAAGGGTTGGCGTGGAGCAAGTTCAGAAAAGACACGCCACAAGGAGGAGGACAGGGGAGAAAGGGCTGGTCAAGCAGGAGAATGCAGGCCAAGATGAGAGCCTATGTGAGAAAGCACTAGAAAAGTCATAAAAATGTTAAGTGCATTACACACGTCAGCATGCAACCACAGGTCCCGACCAGAAGGTGGCAGGAGAAAGATTTTTGTCAGAGCTGCATGAAGAATCCATATAAATGATCACTGAATGTAAAGTTAATTTCATTTACACTTTATATATTTAGACTGCAAAATAAACTTACTCCTTGAGCTCTCAGATGTTCTACACATTTACTTACCTACTATGTTTACTCAAATATAAAAGGCAGAAAGGATGGAAAAAAAGAGACAGTGATTTTAAGGAGTATATACAATACTGTCAGTAAGATTAAACAGAAATGCCCCAGGATTTCTACACATTTCTTTTACCATCAATATAATCCCGTGGGGGTGTTCTCCCCACTTCAAAGATGAGGAAATTGAGTCTCAGAAGTTTCTGCAGAAGAGAGAAACTGTGCCAGGTCACAGCTGCCATGTGAGGTCAGTGACATTAACTCATTTACACAACAATTGGTAGAACCAAAAGCAGGACTTCAAGAGTCAGTGTGCCCAGAGCCAGGGACCTTGAGCTAGTGCTCCTGAAACCCTGTGCTGGTCGAGAACAAGGCTTTACGGCTATGCTGTGAAGAATGAAATAAAGCCCCACCTTGAGAACAGATGCTTCTGAACAAGAAAAGAATAATTTTAAATAGCTAGAAAACAAGTTTTCTAAGCAGACAATCCACTTGGAATGACTCAAAAGAAGGTATGAGGCTTGGGCCGTGTCCACAAGCTCCAGACAGCTGGAGAAGAACAACACATGTCCCTGCCTTTGAAGAGACTGGAGCAGTCAGAAGAGTTCCTGCCACCAGAGAGAGGGAAGTGACCTGGAGTTAGTGGCAGCTTCTGCATCCCTCTACTCGGCTGGCCAATGCCATGGGAGCGCAGTTGGCCTCTCTGTATCTCCAGGGGCTAAAGGTGGTACTAGAACAACATTGCAAGAATGAGAGACTAAATTAATTTTTATAATTTCATCTCTTGGAAAATTAAGTACTGGCAGATACCAAAACCCAGAGAATGTTTGAATTTGCATATGCATAAAAATACACAAACACTTTCATAAATGAGTAGAATGTTGTCTAATATGATACATACCAAACCATTAAAAGTAGCTTCCTCTGGAGAGAATTTAATGTGGGAAGCAATGTCTGTATATTTTTAACATTTTATGAAAAGTTCATATACTGTTGTAATATTTTTACATAGTTATTAAAGAGTCTAATGATTAGTTTGTGAAAATTCTGAAGAAACAAGGAAGTTTTTATTATAGGTCAGGTTTAAGATGATATAGGTCTGAAACAGAATTAATTCATCCATAGTGACTGAACAAACATTTTCCTATGGAAGGAAAGCACGAAATGTACTTGAGTCCCTACACTGAGTCACATGAGCTGTCCACAAGGGCCACATCCTCTGTCTTTACTTGCAAAACAAAGTGGGGGTCAAAATTTCCCCAGTGCACTTCCTGACTGCTCTACTCTGAGACGAGATGGCCTGAAATAAAAGGACTACCAGGGGTTTCTAAATGTCACTTGCTATTTCCGATACTCCAACCTGCTTTTGTGTGCTTATTATTAATATGTGTTTTTCATATTGACTTCCTTGTTAGCCTCCTCCTTTCTATTTGTCTCTCTAAGCATTGTTCTATGTGCTAGAGCTGCTGGGTTGCCGGAAAAGTCATGACGTGTTTTTACGTGAAAAACAGAAAAAATACGTCATGACTTTTATGACAGCTCAATATATTCTGAATTCCAAATTCATAATGCCAGCCAGGAATTGCGAGAAGAACAAGACAATGGAGTCAGAAACAGGAGACTGAATAGTGAGACATGGATCCCAGCATAATCAGTTGTGTGTGAATTTAGACAAGGTAGCTGACCTCTCTCTGAGCCTCGGTTTCCTCACAGGGAAAATGTGGGCAAGTCAAGGGCCACACAATTAGAAAACGCATAAGAGAACTTTATAAAGGTAAAGTGTCACAAATGCTAGTTTTTAGTCACTCTGTAATCTGAACCAGGAGATGTTATAACAACTTCCAAGCTGGTTCATTTCCACTCTTAAGCATGCAGTTTGAGAAGCTATAAAGAGTCCTAAAATGGAGTCCAATTCAAAGGACTTTATTTTGGTTATTTAGAATGTTAAAATATAAATACTTCACAGCTGTCTTAAAAATTCTTATTGCTTATTCTGTTTATAAAAAAAAATCCTCCTTGTGTAATACAATAATAAAATAATAACAAGGGGCATTATGAACAAGAATACTAACACATATGTGTACATGGACAGTTACATATATATAGCATAAATGTAGTTTTATATCATTCTGTAGTTATAACACTATTCCTTTAACCTTACACTCCAGAAAGTATAAATTGGCCTTACCAGTTTACAACTGAGACACGGAGATTAAAGGATTTATCTGAACCAAAAAGGGTTGTTAACCAGAATTCAAACCCAAATAGCACCCCAGTCCAAATCTTGTACTCTTAGCTACTTTTGTGTACTACTTGAGAAAGATAAATATGCTAAGAAGGATACCAACCACAGCCACAAAGTTGGGGACCTGAGTTTTTTCCAGTGTCTCCCTGAGTTGATCCATTTCTGCTCGATACTCATCCAGCTGACATTCTAATTTTTCTCTACGTAGTCGTTCGTACTCCAGCTGGCCCTGCAGCTCTTTGATTGTTCTGTCAAAAAAAATTTTCAATCACTCTCCAATATCAACTAACAATTATAATAATAATAATGAAGAGAATCCATGTCTTCTATATAAGGCAGATTAAACAAATCATGTATTCGACAAATACGTACTGAGAATCTACGTTGAGCCAGCACTGATCTAGGTGCGGCAAGATAGTGAACAAAGCAGGACAAAATTCACCTTGCTAGCACTTAGCAGTGCAGTAACACAGACAGGACAGAAAATAAGTAAATATAAGATGTTGTTGAGGAAGGTTTAATACTCCAAACACAGTGGCCAGGGTAGGCCTTCATGAGAAGTGCTTCTGAGCAAAATCCTAAAGGAAATGAGAGAGAGAACCTAGCAGCCATCCAGACAGAGAAAAGCAAGCGCAAAGGCCCTACCGCAGAAGCATACGGGGTGAACCGGGAGAAAACCAAAGGCCAGTGTGGCTGGGGTGGCTTGAAAATAGAGTAGTGGGCCAGACAGGTAAAAGAAAGGCGTAACAAGAAGGGTCTTTTAAGTCACAGTAAAGAGTTAGGTTTTTACTCTGCACTCCAACGGGAAGCCACTGGCGTGTCTGAGCAGAGAGAGCGTAATCTGAGTTAAGACTGGAGACAGGAAAGAGGAAAGTCCACTGTGGAAGCTTAGAATTCAGCAACTAAGACAGGAAAACCACTCCCTAGAGAATAATACAACTATGTCTTGTACTTGGATTGGACCTAACTAATGGACAAGGATGTTCCTCAAATACTTACCCAAGCTTTCTTTACAATTAGATCTAAGATTAGGAGATAGAATCTACACACATGGAGAGCAAATGCTAGGAAAGAACTGAAATTTACTCAGAAGAAACACCACAGTCTTAACCGATTTGACACTAGCTTCTGACACAAAAACTAAAGTAATCTTTTTAAAAATATGTTCAAAATCGGGCCTCCCCTGGTGGCGCAGTGGTTAAGTGCTGTGCCGCGAAGCTGCCCGTAGCCTCTGCAGCACCAGTTCGATCCCTGGCTGCAGATGAGGATCCCACATGGCGCGACAGACCTCTCCTGCCGCCCGCTGCTCCCCTCAGCAGTGTACTTGGTCAGTCTGCCTGTTCTGTTCCCCGCTCTGGCTCTGGTGAATTCTCTCACCCTCCTGCGCTTCTGACTGTACCCAGTGCTTGTATAAATAAATATATAAATCTTTTAAAAAAAAATGTTCAAAATCACTTATACCAATAGTATAGCCACTGCACAATGAAATATGAACAATAGAGTTTCCATAAGGGCTATGAAAACCATAATGGTCTTAGATAACAAGTTTGGAGTCATACAGGTTCAGGCTCAAATTCTGGCTTGCAACCTTTGTTACTCCTTTTGTGACTTTGTGCATGTTATTTAACCTCCTTTAAGCTGTGAAGATTGTATGGGTAAGGACGTAAAAGGCTTATTGTTAGTGCTTGATAGACAGCAGTTCTCAGAAGTAATACAAGCAGCAGAAGCAGTGGTGCAATAATCTGCCCTAGAGGAGAAGAAAAAATAATAAAGCAAGTCTTAAAGTTCAGTTAGCAAGTAAGTGTTTCACTGTGAAAAGTGCTTTACTTTTCTAGAGCACAAAGGGTCATATGTACTTTGAGCGAGGCTCTTATATAAAGTCTAATTACTAATACAATTACTAACAATATTCACACTCTCAAAGCACTCTGATCAGTATAGAGGAAGTGAGCAGCTATCCAGATGATGTGATTTGTGACAAAGCAAGAAGACCTTTCTAGTTTAATATATATATAACCGGTCTGCCAAACCTTCCTTGTGTCTAAAAAAAAAAAATAATACCACCAACAGAGAGTACTTCAGCTTAAGACTTTGTCTTCTGTTCAAATTCCTGAGTATCCATAGAGGGATAACACATGTACTCCGGCCAAAGATTCAGATGAGACTCTGAATACATTTACCAGATCTCTCACTGAGGTGGATTCCAAACAGGGAGAAGCAGACAGGAGGTTGTGAAAGTCCGAGGGAAAGAGACCCCAACAAAGGAAGGATGGGAAAGGGGGGGTAAGAGAAAGAGAAACCAGGGGTGCTGCTCTTTACAGAGGTTGTTTTGGTTAAACCTGTCTCCCTTTCTCTCTGGAAAGCAGAGAGGAGGGGAGGAAATAAACACTGGGCATCCTCATTCTAGCAGCCACTAATTAGCGAGGATTCAAGTGTGTGCCGTCAAGTTAATGTATAGGATATGAAAGGTAAGGGCAGCTATACAGCTGATCACTGTACCCAAACACTCTCTGATGGGGGCACTGTAGTCAGCGCCCACCAGACTAGGTCTCAGATTCATGAGTAAGCAGTCTAGTGTGGGAGCAACAGTTAAAGACTGTGTTGACTGAAAAACTCAAAGCAGCTAGAACCTCAAAAAAAAAAATCTTAAATCCTTACAGAGTTTCAGCTTTCAAGAGATGGAAGGTTCTAGAGATCGGTTGCACAAAAATGTAAATGTCCTTAACACTACTGTATTGCACACTGAAAAATGGTTAAGATAATAAGTTTTATATTACGCATATTCCCACACACACATACACACACAAAAATCTTAATGTTCTCCATCTGAGGACTTCTGTCAGGAAACTTAAAATCCCTGGTGGTGAGGAAAGAACTAGTTGCTGATAAACAAATCCCCATATGCCATTTAGAGGTAAAAAAACCCCACAAAATCATTATTAAAGTTTTTTTTTTTTTTTTTTTTTTTTTTAAAGAGGCATGTATATTTATTTATTTATTTGTTTGTTTGTTTGTACATGCACTGGGTACAGTCAGAAGCGCAGGAGGGTGAGAGAATTCACCAGAGCCAGAGCAGGGAGTAGAGCAGGCAGAAGGACCGAAGTACACTGCTGAGGGGAGCAGCGGGTGGCAGGAGAGGTCTGCGCGCCATGTGGGACCCTCCTCCGGTGGCTGGGGAGCAGTCGGGGATCAAACCGGCGCCGCTGAGGCTGCGGGCAGCTTCGCAACCCAGCGCTCAACCGCTGCGCCACCAGGGAGGCCCACAAAATCATTATTAAAGTTTTGAGGACATTACTTTTCAGCCTCAAGCTGTTCTTTCTTCTGCTTTAGATCTTCTTCTGTTATCCCTCCCAAGTGTTTATAGTTGCTCTCAGCAATTTCCAGGTGTTGTCTCAATTCTACAATTTTCTTATAAGCTCTCACTGCAAGACAGTTGAATAGGTACATAGTTTAGACAGATAGCTCAGCAGGTTGGTCTGGAGATTTAGGAAGGGAACTAACAGGAGGGTGGCAAATACATAGAAAGACAAAAATCAGTAATAGAATACTAGGGTGAATAAGCAATGAAATACCTATCTGGAGGATTCTTTCCTGCTTTTGGAGTATGTATCTATTGTTATGACTATCAATACTATGGGGGAAAAAAGATTAAAAAGAAGACTAAGAGTGTTTTAGAACTGATAACATAATACAGGACCATGCATCATCTACTATATATCAGAAAATTAGAAAAGTTAAAATGTGCTTGGTTTATTTAAAATAAACCAAAAATAGGGGCCTCTCTGGTGGCACAAGGGGTTAAGACACAGCACTATGAAGCTATCTGCAGTGTCTGCTACAAGAGTTTGATTCCCGGCCAGCCAGGGACAACCCACAGGGCATGGCAGACCTCTCCTGCCACGCCCGCTGCTCCCCTCAGCAGTGTATTTCAGTCAGTCTGCCTGTTCTGTTCCCCACTCTGTCTCTGGTGAATCCTCTCACCCCCCGCATCTCTGGCCTGTACCCCTGGTCTTGCATACATAAATAAATAAATCTTTAAATAAATAAACCAGAAATAATTGAATTCCCAAATTTTGGGATTAGGCACTTGTAATATCTATGCAAGAGATACTGAGAGAAGGAATTATGCTAAAAGTTGTTTTTAGCTAATCTCCAACCAGCTAAAGTATGATTTTTCCATCCTTTGTGGCAGTGGTTCTCAACCTGGGATGATTTTATTCCCACCAAAGGATATCTGTCAACACCTGGAGACATTTTTGCTTGTCACAATTGTGGGGCAGGAAAGATGGCTACTGGCATCTAGGGGGTAGAGGCCCAGAATGCTACTACACATACTACAATGCAGAGGAGAGCCCCTCTCAACATGTAATTATCTGGTCCAAAATTTCAACAGTGCAAACATTGAGAAACTATTGTATGGAATCAGTTTGGCAAATCACAGCCTCTTCTCCCTAATACTTAACAGTTGAATTTATCTATAGTTGGTTAGAGCTACAGGTTGTACATTGCACACATCAAAATCAACCAGGGGTACTTTTTAAAATTCTACACATTTCATCTCTCTCCCAATTCAGGTATCAGTTCTTAATAAAAGCTCCTCAAACAATTCTACTGGGGAGAAAGATTTGGGAAGCACCATAACAGCTAACAAGCAACATGGTGGAGGAGACTTTTGTTTTTAAAAATTACATAAGAAAATATTGAAAGAACTGTGTCCATTCAGCTTTTAAAATAATTTCTTTAGTGTCACAAAGGCTATCTTTTAAAAGAGCTTTTCTATGAGATCATCAATGGTAAGAGCTGGGATTAACTGGGATTAGTTCCAGAAAGAGAGATTTTAGTGTAATAAGAGAAACTGTCCAACAACAACAAAAACTATCATAAATCTGCAGAGTTCTTGCAATTTGCATTCACTCACTAAGTACTTTATGTATTTTAATTCTCACAAGAACCCTGGCAAAAGATGGAAATGGACTCCAGAGTAATAGTGAGTGCCTTGTTACTGAGGTAACTGAGTGAATGCTGGATGACATATGACGGGAATATTGAACCAACAGTCAAAGCTCAAATGGTTATAGGGTTCTATGATGCCATGGCCCTAAACAAAATTCACTAAAGAATGTTAAATTGAGACCAGGTTCTAGGAACTCTGGGACAAGTAATCCAACCAGTTCCCTGTAGGTGCACTGGCAAAACCTAGTGTCCTAAGAAGCCATTGTCAAGTTCTTCGGATTTTCCCCTGGCATAAAATTAAGACAACAAAATAGCACACAACTTCAAAAAAATAGCACCTTCACTAGCTACAGGCACCCTAGATGATTCTCACTGCATGACAAGGACAGAAAATATGAATAGATACTTTTCAAAGAGGATATAAGAGGACCAACAGACACATGAAAAATAATGATTAAGACGGCCTCCCTGGTGGTGCAAGGGGTTAAGATGCAACCTATGAGGCTATCTGCAGCCACTACAGCATGAGTTCGATCCTCGGCCAGGGAGCTACCCACACGGCACAGCAGACCTCTCCTGACTTGCCCGCTGCTCCCCTCAGCAGTGTATTTCAGTCAGTCTGCCTAATCTGTTTCCCACTCTGTCTCTGGTGAATCCTCTCACCCCCCACACCTCTGGCCTGTACCCCAGTTCTTGTATGCATAAATAAATAAATCTTTAAAAAAAAGAAAAATGATTAAGATCTTAAAACACCAAAAACATATGACAATTATTAATGTATACAGAATAAATGAATGTATGTATCAAAATACATAAAGCAATTACCAATAGAACTAAAGAGTGACATTGACAACATAATGGTAGTAGGGATTTTAACACCCCACTTACAACTATGAACAGAGCAAGACAGGAAAAAAAAGGGAAACAATAGCCTTAAATGACAGGTTAGATCAGATGGGGCTAACAGATATTTAGAAAACATTCCACCCCAAAGAGCAGATCTTACACTTTTTCAAATGCACACTGAACATTCTTAAGGACAGAGTAATTGCTGGGACACAAATCAAGTATCAATAAACTTATGAAAATTAAAATCATAACAAGCACTTTTTTCTGATCAGAAGACTGTAAAACTAGAAATCAACCACAAAGAGAAAACTGGGGTAACCTCAAACATGTGAAGATACATGCTTCTCAATAACCACTAAGTCTAGGAGCAAACTAAAGCAGAAATTTAAAAATACCTGGTGGCACTCTGTGGCCTGAGTTCGATCCCTGGCCAGGGAGCTAACCCACATATGGCACAGCAGACCTCTCCAGTCTCGCCCGCTGCTCCCCTCAGCAGTGTATTTCAGTAGATCTGCCTGTTCTGCTCCCCACTCTGCCTCGGTGAATCCTCTCACCCCCCACATGGCTGGTCTACACCCCAGTTCTTGTATGCATAAATAAAACAAGATCTTTAAATCAATTAAATAATTAAATAAAAATACTCGGTGACAAATGAAAATGAAGATACAAGTAATTAGAACATATGGGAGCAGAAACAATAATACTAAGAGGAAAAGTTAATTATTAATAGATGTGAATAGACACTTTTCTGAAGAGGATATACAGGTGATCAACACACTCATGAAAAAATGATTTATCCTTTCTTATTAGGGAGATACAAATAAATACCACAATGAGATATCACCTCATACCTATGGGAATGATTTACATCAAAAGACCTCAAACAAATGCTGATGAGCATGTGAAGAGAAAGGAACCCTGGTGCACTGTTGGTGGGAATGTAAATTGGTGCAGTCATTTTGAAAAAGGATCTGGAGCTTCCTCAAAAAACTAAAAAAAAAAAAAAAAAACTAAAAACTTGCACATGATCTAGCAATCCCACTTCTGGGTAACCATGCAAATGTTGAATCATCAACTCAAGAGTTATATGCACCACAATGTTTACTTGAGTTTTATTTACAATAGGTATACATTTGCATCAAACTAGTGTCCTATCCCCTTGAGAGACAGAGCAGTCCCTTGTTTACTCACTGATTTGGAGTACTTTACTTAAACATTTGTTATGGACTCAATGTATCTCCTAAAACTTATATGTTGAGTTTTGTAATGGTATTTGAAGAAGGGATCTTTGGAAGTGATTGGGGTTATGATGAGGTTATGAGAATGAGGCCCTGGTCATGTGAGATTAGTACCCTTAAAAGAGACACCATTGGGTCTCCCTGGTGGCGCAGTGGTTGAGTGTCGTGCTGTGAAGCTGTCCTTAGCCCCCGCAGCGTGGGTTCGATTCCCAGCAGGCCAGGGAGAGACCCACATGGCTTGGCAGACCTCTCCTGTTTCACCTGCTGCTCCCCTCAGCAGTGCTTTCGGTCCGTCTGCCTGTCCTCTTCCCGGCTCTGTCTCTGGGGAATCCTCTCACCCTCCTGCTCCTCTGACCTATACCCCAGCTCTTATATAAATAAACAAATCTTTAAAAAAAAAAAAAAAAAAAGACACCATTTCACTTTCTATACAGTGAAAAGGTGACTGTCCCCAAGTCAGAAAGAGAGTTCTTAGCAGAAACAGACCCTGCTAGACTTAGATCTGGGACTCCCAACCTCCAAATTTGTGAGAAATTAAATTGTTGTTTTTAAGCCACCCAGTCAATGGCATTTTATTGTAGCGGCCCAAGTATACTAAGATATCATTTAATGAAATAAGACCATCCTTCAGTCAGTAATTATGAAAAATTAAATCTTTGGCTTATGTCTCCAAAATGCAATTAGTATAAAAGAAAACAGGTGCAAAATTAGAAAACTATTTCAGGAAATCACACTAACAAATATGGTAGGTTTTAATCTTGGTATTGTGGGAATCAAAGAACAGCTGTTCAAGACTCTCACAATTTTAAAAAATAAAAAAATCAGGTCAGTTTAGGAAAGAAGCAAATATGGAGAAATTATTTTTCTGTTCATCAATGTAACTTCTAGCACCTGAAACAGTGTTTGGCCCGTAACAGGTATTCGATAAATATATACTGAATGCTGGGAAGAGAAAGAACTGACAAAGCACTATTCAAGTCATTTCTTTTAATACTATACTTAGCAGACGCAGAAGAATGTTTCCTAAATCTCAGGAAGCAGGGCTCTTTCTGATGAGCTGCTAATGCCCTTAGCGTAAGGCTACAAAAGCAGTACCTATCCCTCATCACTTCTGCCGCTGTAAACAGTGACCCTGCGCCAAGGAAAAGTCCAAATTCCTCTTCTGAGAAGTCTTTCTGCTACTCTGCACTCTAAGAGTCAGCCTTCATTTCTCTCTGATAGCTCATCCAAGACTCTCAGCGAATACTATCAACTCTACCTTCTAAGTACATCCAAATCTGACCGTTTCTCACCATCTCTATTGTCACCATCTCTCTTCCAGTCCAAGCCATTATCAACATTCTTTGAACCAAAGTCCCAGTACCGTAAGCAACCTCCCTGCTTCCGTTTTTACTCTGTAAAGGGTTTTCCACAACACTGGTGTTGTGGAGGTAAAAACAGTCAAGGTCAGCTCAATCAGATTCAGCTTCCTCTCCTACCCGCAGATAAAGCATGATCTTCCTAATGGTGCTTAGTTCAAGAACCAAGAGTGAAGGTATAAATAGTACCTGAAAGGGAAATTAAGAGATAATTTATGTAAACCCATATGGAATGGTTATCAAAGTCTTCAGAATTAAAAAGCTGAAGCAAAACAAGAATGGAGCTGCCAGTAACACTGGCAGTCGCAGGCTTACATCAGGGACTCTCGAAGCCCTACATTTGCTCATGAACAATTCTTGACATATTTAAAGTATGAATGGGGGGCCTCCCTGGTGGCGCAGGAGGTTGAGCGCTGTACTATGAGGCTGCCCGCAGCCTTTGCAGTGCTGGTTCCAACCCTGCCAACCTCGGAGCAACCCACATGGCGAGACAGACCTCTCCTGTCTCACCCGCTGCTCCCCTCAGCAGTGTAGTTTGTCAGTCTGCCTGTTCTGTTCCCTGCTCTGTCTCTGGTGAATCCTCTCACCCTCCTGCGCATCTGGCCTGTATCCCTGCTCTTGTATAAATAAAATAAATCTTTAAAAAAAAAAAAAAACTAGCAACAACAAATGGTGAGGATGCACAGAAAAAGGAACTCTCCTGCACTGCTAGTGGGAGTGCAAACTGGTCCAGTCACTATGGAGAGCTGTGTGGAGATTCCTCAACCTGCTAAAGATGGAGCTTCCATATGATCCAGCAATTCCACTCCTAGGTATTTACCCAAAGGACACAGAACCATTAATTCAAAAGGGCACCTGCACCCCTATGTTTATAGCAGCACTATTTCCAATAGCTAAGCTATGGAAACAACCCAAATGCTCAAAAAAAGGTGACTAGATCAAGAAGATGTGGTAAATATACGCAATGGAATATTACTCAGCAATCAAAAAGATAAACTCATGCCATTTGCAGCAACATGGATGGAGCTAGAAGGGATCATGCTCAGCGAAATAAGACAGAAAAAGAAAAATACCGGGTGGTCTCACTCATAGCAGGAATTTAGAAAACCTAAATAAGGGCCCAGGAAACAGACTAATTGCAATAAAGTAAAAATCAAAATCAACAAGTAACTATAAATAAGAGACACACTATGGGGGTAGGGGAGGGAGTAGGCTCAAAAGAAGGGGAGTGGGAATTATATGGGGACTATAACCAAGATGAAAATACATACATTGTGCAAAAATGAAAAATGATGTAAAAAAACATATAAAATTAAAAAAAAATTTTTTAAAGAAATTGTCTTTAGAATAATTTCCAAATTTGTGGAAAAATAGATAGTTATGACATTTCTTAAAGGACAAAATGCAACAGAGGTGCACACTTACTTCTTGCATCTGTTTTATCTGACTCATTGAGACATAAGTCATCCTTCACATCAGTGCTTCCCTCAACACCATGTCTTATGAAAAAATTCACATCATTTTTATCAATATCATTTTCATCATCTATGTCATACTTTTGTAGTCCTTCTAGTAGCTTTACTGCTGCTAAATGAGCAAACCTATGGGGGAAAAAATCAATAATTAACAAGGTCTGCAATACTCTTCCAAAAGGAAACAGCAGTTTGCACTTAATTTAGGAATTACACTCTGTATACTGTGCCACCCACCCACCAGAAAAGGAGCAAAACTATAACTAAAAGTCAGTGACAATTCAGCATATAGCTGGCTGTGTAGGACACTCAAACAGTTACTGAACACTATGGACAGGCAGTCATATTAAAGGCTGATTCCATAAATTTTATTGGGATAAAAAATTCTCTCCAATTGGGAGAGAAGACCCAATATCAAAAATTATTTGGTGTACCTCCAAACAGAGCTGCTCACTGGTAGAAAGTCCAGAACCACCTTACTTGATTAGTTGTATTTATTACCTTGTTTTAATGACCTCACTTAGACTATAGAATTAGTTCTGGTTCTTGTTTTTAAGGCTAATTATAATTCTATAATTTTCATTCTGATCTTCAATCCAAAACCTTTGACATGAAAGAGGAAATGCAAATGGCCAACAGGCATATGAAAAAATGTTCAACATCCCTTATAATCAGGGAAATGCAAATCAAAACCACAATGAGATACCAGCTTTCACCAGTGAGAATGGCACATATCAAAAAAACAAGCAACAAGAAATGTTGGCAGAATGTGGTGAAAATGGAACTCTCCTACATTGCTGGTGGGAGTGCAAACTGGTCCAACCACTATGGAAAGCTGTCTGGAGTTTCCTCAGTCTACTAAAAATGGAGCTACCACGTGACCCAGCAATTCCACTCCTAGGGATCTACCCAAAGGACACAAAAACATTGATTTGATTCAAAAGAACACCTGTCCCCTATGTTTATTGCAGTACTATTTACAATAGGTAAAATCTGGAAACAACCCAAATGCCCAAAAATAGATGACTGGGTCAAGAACATATGGTACATATACACAATGGAATATTATTTAGCAATCAAAAAAGATAAACTCATGCCATTCGCAGCAATGTGGATGGAGCTAGAAGGAATTATGCTCAGTGATATAAGCCAAAAGGAAAAAGAAAAATATTGGATTGTTTCACTTATAGCAGGAATATAGGGGAACCAAATCAGCGTAAAAAAATAACAATACAAAATACAACAAACCCAGACAATTATAAATCAGAGACATCCTGCAGGGGAGGAGGAGGGAGGGATCAGAGGAAGGGAGGGAGGAACACAGGGGACTGAGGTGATGGTGCACGGGTGCATTGGTGAAGGAAACTCTATGGGGACTACACCTGAGGGTAGCGGGGAGCAAATACTGCTTAAAAATGAACAATGATGTAAAAAACAAATAAACAAAACCTTTGGTATGGATTTTGAAATTTAATGGGAAAATAATTATTATTTTTCTTTTATTATTGTTATTTATTTATTTAATATATTTTTTATATCATTCTTCATTTTTGTACAATGTATGATTTCTCATCTCGGTTATAATCCCTGTGAAATGCCCACCACCAATTCACCCATGTACCATCACCATAGTCCCTTGTGCTTGTGCTCTTCCCACCCCTGTTTTGATCCTGCTCCTCCTCTCCCCACCATTGCAGAGTGTCTCTGGTTTATAGTTGCCTGTTGATTTTGATTTTTTACTTTATTATAATTATTTTTTTTCCTGATCACTTATTGGATCCTCTACATTCCTCCTAAAAGTGAAACCTTCCAGTATTTTTCTTTCTTTCTGGCTTATTTCATTGAGCATGATCCCTTCTAGCTCCATCCAAGTTGCTGTAAATGGCATGAGTGTATCTTTTTTGATTGCTGAGTAATATTCCATTGTGCATAATAATTACTTTTCTATCCATGTTTTGTAACCTCTTTGCTCTTTCTCATATTTCTACGAAGTTTTCAGTAATAATCACCTGGTTTTAGCATTGTTACTGTGTTTGCATCTAATCTGCATATTTTACACATACTTTTGCTTGTGTTAAATTCTTTCTCTTAGAACATGCAGAATTACTCTCTAAACACAAAATGCTCAAATACTATTTTTTTAACATACTTAACCACACACAGACACATAAATATCCTTACCTTTCACCATGTACTGCAAATCATTAAAAATACAGTCATAAATTATTAAGGAAGCTGTAAGAAAGCTAACAGAATTCATTCTCCATCTTACTAGGTCATAATTTAATAGCCATCAAGTACTTGCTTTATGTCACATTGAAGGTTATTTCTGTAACATTACACTCACAACTAGCATTTTTGTGCTCAAATGACAAAGAAATGTGGGTCAGAATTTATTAATAATAGATATATCCATGATGTTTAATTACCCATGTGATAGTGGTATAAAGATAGACAAATGAAATAAGTCCATATGAATATAGATAACTGACTTGGACAAAGACAATGCAATAGAGAAAGGACAATCCTTTCAACAAATGATGCTAGAACAATTCAATATCCATAGGCAAAAAATTCTAAAAGAAAACACAGGGGAAAATCTTTGTGACTTTTTGTCACATACCGTATGATTCCATTTATATAAAACTCTAGAAAATGGAAAACTAATCTATAATAATAGCATTTGCTCAGGGAAGGGACTACAGGAGCAGTAGGAAGCATATAAATTACGAAGTGGCACAAGGAGACTTTTAGGTGTGTGGACATGTTCACTATCCTGATTATGGTGATAGTTTCACTACACACATGTCAGAATTCATCAGTTACATCTGTACTATATAAATATTAGTATTTTACTTATACAAGTATACCTTGATAAGGCAACTTGAAAAATAAAGTGAGTCTGAATTACAATTGATCCTTGGGCACATGATACAACAAAACCACACCCCAAGGCTTCAAAGATATCCCACAGGCAAAACTTTAAAGATCATGAACTCACAAAGAAAAATTAGATGACAATTTATTGAATTAGGCCCTCTTGTCCCATTAAGCCTCATTTGCAACTTTTAGCTCACGTTCCTACTTTGGATTCAAGCAGTTTTGAACCACACATAGTCCTCAAACACACAAGGTGTTATCTTACAGCTCTTCCTTCTTCAAGTGCAGTATAAATGTTGCTTCCTCAAAAATAAGTTTACCCTGGTCTCTATGTAAATTCTACATTTTCCTTTGAAATTCTTACCATAATGGTATTAAAGTTTCTCCCCCCAAAGTTTTAAATTGAAAGAATTGCATCTTTTCTCCTATGTTTTTACTGGCCTTACATATAACAGATATTATGATCCAGTTAGTAATAATTATATGTACACATCTGTCTCTCCATAAGAATGCAAGCTCCTTGAGGGCATAGATTGTGTTTTTTATCTTCGTAATTCTAATGCTAACATTAATACTTGGAACATAGTATTTATTCAAGAAGTTGAATGAAGAAACTACCAGGTTAACAGATGAACTAAATATTCCTTAGGGATAAGACTTAAATGAGCTCAAAGTATTTGGTAATAGGTATTACTTTTAATTCAAATGTAAATTCCAAAATTTTCAAAACCCATGGGATTCCTTTTGATTACTCCCTTTTATCACACAGTATTTCTCAATAAGTACCAACATTTGAGTAGGACAAAATTCCATTGTACACAACTGTTCTGAACACTGTAAAATGTTTAGCATTTCTGGAATTGATCTTGCTAAATACTAGTGATTGTCTCCAGTCATTATTACAATCCCCCTGACATACACCTCAAAACATTCCAAAATGCCCCTTCCCCCAGGAAAGGGGACAATACTTCCTCCCGGTTGAGAATCACTGCTTTAGAGAGCAGAGTTAATATACTGTCAAATGTCCACCAGCATTTGACTTGAGTTCTATAATTCCATTGTCTTCAGAGATTTCTGAATACAAGAGAGTCTATACAAAATGTATAACAAAAGAACAGCACAAAGCAGATAGGGATACCTCTTAGCCACATCACAGGGTTTCTCCCCTGCTTTGTTGGTAATATTACAATCTGCTCCCATTTTAATTATCCACTGCAAGCACTCTATGTGGCCTTGTCCAGCAGCTATTCAAACAACAAAACAGAAGATATACAAAAAATAATTAGTAGTAGTAACAATTTTCTAAAATTCTGAATAATACCATGAAAGAGTAGTTTTATAATACTCATCCTTGCAATAACCAACAAAAATATGACTGGGTGGATAATATTTTCTCTGTCATTTATTCATTCATTATATAAACATCTAATCAAATGTGATCATTTGGTCATAGTGCTATACAGGGAACATACAAATATAAAAATTAAAGGTCAGAAAGGTTATTAACATTACACAAATAGCAGATAGTGGATTTGAAACTAGAATCTAGGATTTTCTAATCCTTAGCCGGTGTTCATCCACTGCTGTCTATAGTTTATGACCAATCTTGTATCAGACCAGAATGTGAACACAATCCAGTCATAGGAACCTATATTGACCTAGAAAGTCTTGAACTCTTACAAAAATAGCTTCTTTCTCTGACCCTCACAACTCAAAATTTATTCAAGCTACACTTCATTACCTAAGCTATTTACCACCCTGTCCAGATCTAGCCCTCAAAACATACATGCTCAATATAAATTTTCACCTGCACATCTGTGTGTCTCTCACCTACTGCCCACCATTCAACAATACATTCATCTAACTTCAAATGTTGAGTGTCAATTCAGCTTGAATTAGTCCATCCTAAGTCCACCTCAACACTTAGGAAAACTTTGGGGGGAAAAACTTCATAGATTTAAAAGATCTGTCCCTCAATTTCTAGTACAGAATTCCTGTTGCATATATTTTAACTATCAAATACTTATTGCCATTAATTACATCCTGATTCATAAATTATCTTCTTGTTCATGGAGTATGTAAAAGCATGTAGCTCCTTAACAGTAAAGTCTAGATCTCATGCTGTCTCCGCAGTGTGGGCACTGGGCACACAGTTAAGGCTAACTATTTATGTTTCTCTGCAAAATGAAGCAAAGAATAGAAACTTTTGGTATGACTTTGGAGCCTTAAAAAGTGAATCTAGGGCCTCCCCGGTGGCGCAGCGGTTGAGCACTGGGTTGCGAAGCTGCCCGAGGCCTCTGCGGCGCAGCGGTTCGATCCCCAGCTGCTCCCCGGCCACCGGAGGAGGGTCCCACATGGCGTGCAGACCTCTCCTGCCGCCCGCTGCTCCCCTCAGCAGTGTACTTCGGTCCTTCTGCCTGCTCTGCTCCCCGCTCTGGCTCTGGTGAATTCTCTCGCCCTCCCGCACTTCTGACTGTACCCAGTGCATGTATAAACAAAACAAACAAACAAACAAATAAATAAATAAATAAATAAAGTGAATCTACTTCTAATTCTGGCAACAGACCTAAGAAGATACAAAGACAGATCCATTGATAAAGCAACTTCAGCACTATAGCCCTGCCACCTAGCCTGTGTAAGGTCTGTAAGAGCTCTTATTCTGCTTCAACTTCTCTACTCAGAGTTGATGCCTAAAGAGCCTATCTTTTATTATTTGTCTAAACAATATCCCACATACAGATATATGTGGATATTTGGCATCAGAAAAGGAATATCACAGTTAATTAAAAATCAAGCACTTTGTATGCTATATAAGACAGACTGACAGGAAAAATGTAAACATTTTTCATTATTTTTGATAATTATTTTAAACAGAAAATAAATGAACAGCAATTGTGTAATGATAACAGAAAAGGAAGCAAGACTTACAACTCACCTTTATGCATTGGAGTGGATCCATTATTATCACGCTCATTAATATTGATTACTCCATCTTCTATTAATTTTTTAAGCATTTCCAAATCACCTTTAAAGGCAGCCACATGACCTGGAAATGCTAAAGCTATGGATAAAAAATTCAGCATTTTAGTAAACACATGAATTCTTTCCTACTCCCTGCATTAAGAAATCACACATTTCAGGTTTCATATTATCACAAATATGAAACTGTTATATTAGAATTAGTTCACTTTTACAATAATGACTAATAAAAAGAGACATAAAATGGGAATATCAATAACTGTGCAGTCCTTCCACCTCTGAGGACATCAAATGTCCAAGAAGTATTGTACCAGAACTACTCTCTGCTGAATTCCCTTTTTCCTTTGTGGATGGAATGACAAGAAGGTCCTTCCATCCCTCTGTATTACCATATACTTGGTTTCAAATCCCACATTTGTAGATACCACTTCCTCTCTCTTTGCAAGGAAGTGAAGGAGGTTAACTGAAAGCAGATAAGAAATTGTGTGTGTGTGTATATACATGTGTGAATGTACCTGATCTAGTACATAAGAGACTTGATAAAATGTTTCAAATGATAATGACCACACATATTGAGGCCTTACTGAATGCTAAGCTTGATTGTTAGCACTTGTAAGTATTACCTCATTTAAATCTGTTAGCAGTGCTGAGATACAGCTTTCTTACCTTTACATATGGAAAGAACCTAGAATAGGGAAATGGTATTTTAAAAAGAACAAAGTTGGAGACTTACACTGACTGATTCCAAGTCTTATTAAAAGGCTAGGGAAATCAAGACAATGTAGTAATAACAGACATACACATTAATAAGAATGCAGAGGCCAAAATGCATCCACACATATACAGGCAACTGATTTTTTGATAAAGTGCCAAGATATTTCAACGGGGAGAGAGAAAACATTACAAAAAATGGTGCTAAACTACTGGCTATATATGAAAAAGAAACAAAAATAAATCTAAATCAACATGTTATTTTACTCCATACATAAAACTTAACATGATGTAGATCAAAGATTTGAACTGAGAAGCTAAAACCATAACACTTCTAGAAAACATAGAATATCTTTCTGACCTTGAGGGCAAGTATTTCAAAAATAAGTCACAAAAATTGCCTTGTGAAATAGTTGATACTTTATCAAAATTTAAGACTTTCACTTTTAAAAGACACTAAGAAAACAAAAAGGTAATTTTTAGAATTGAAGAAAACATATGCAACACACATACTGACAAAGAACTATTAAAATTTAATAATTAGAAGACAAACAGCTCAACTTAAAAATGGGCAAAATGAACAGACACTTGGTAAGAGAAAATATATGAAGGCTCATATGAAAAGATGATCTTTATAATTAACTATCAGGAAAATGTAGCTAGAAACCACAATAAGACATACTGTATACATTAAAATGGCTAAAATGAAACTGACTATATCAAGTGTTGTCAATTCCATGAATTCTCAAATATATCTGGTTCAGATATAAATGAGAGCTAACTTTGGAAACAGTGTGACAACAAGTTAATCATGTACCTACCATACACCCTACTGCTAAGTTTAACCAGGAGAAATGCAAACATGTTTACAAAAATGTAGAGAGCAGCATTATTCATCATAGTCCCTTATCAGTGTTCCTTTGCAGGTGAATGGATTAAAAAGCTACATACAGACAATGGAGCACTACTCAGCAATGAAAAGGAATGAACTAGTATAAACAAGTCCAGTATAAGAGAAGATATAGCAGATAAAATTAACAAAGACTATATAAAGAACTCATATATGTACCAAGACTATATAAAGAACTCATCTAGAAAAAAAATACAGTTTTTAAAGGGGGAGAAAATATAGGCAGCCAATTCATTAGAAAGGAAACTAGAATAACTTTATAAAGGGATGCTCAACCTTATTAGCCATCAAGAAAATGAAAAACAAAACATAAATTAAACATTTCATTCCCAACCAATTAGCAAAAAATTATCAGAGGAAAAAGTCTGATAATACTGAAAATTGTTTTATATATATTTTCAACAAACACTGTTGTGAAAATGTAAACTTCTGCAATCACTTTGATGAAGAATGTAGCAATGCCCATTTATATTGGAGATGGGCATACTCCATAAAGCAAAACCTAAAGCAGGCTTTCCCAACTATTTACCAAAGCAGAACTCTTAATATTCAGACTTCACAGAAGACAAATACCTAAACAAGTCTCATTCAATCACCGACCCCACTCCCCCATGCCACACAAATATTTTCTATATGGGCTAAGAAAAAGTCAGGAATTACTTCTTGAAAGAAACTTATACATGCATATAAGAAGACATGTAAAAGAATATTCATCATCACATTGATTATAAATAATGAAAAATTATAAATAATTTATTAAATTGGAGAATGTATAAATAATGGCTTTTTAAACTGCAATACTGTATGAACACTTTAAAAGAACCAAGCAGGATCTATTTATCAACTGAATAAATCTCAAAAAATCATCCTGAGAACAAAGCCAATCATAAAGGAGATATACTGCCTTTGTGCCATTTTTATAAAGCTTTACAACTTGTTTCAAAGACTGTTATCCACTAAAATTCTTTCAATGGTAACAGCTGCAGCTGAGTTAAGGCTTCAGCTGGGTACTGATTACTCCAGGTTTCTTTCAAACCAAGTATGACAATGTGACTAAACACGTGCGTGCCAGAGAATGCTAGCAAGCTGTTGAGCGCAAATTCCACCTTGAAAATCTCTGTGCTATGCTTAGACTCTTGTTGCCCCGCACACACCTCCTAATGGATTAGCAACAACTGGAGAAAGCTGGAAAGGTAACAGGTCCTGATGCTTGCATAGAAAAGATTCATTCTTGAACCCAGGCTACCATATACAAGAAAGAAATTTCTACATCATTTAGATCACTGAAGTTCAGAATTATAATCGTTTAACTTCTTACTCAAAAATTACACAAAACAATACCCCATATTTTTGTGGGTAAATATATACTACTAAGTGCAGCCATTATAAATCCAAAATAACAGCCACCTTTGGGGAAGAAAGGGAATGAATGGTATTGGGGAGAGCTCCAAGGGTCCTCAACGCTACCTCTAATACTTTAGTCTTATATCCAGTGGCATAAACAGTGTCACTGCATTATTCTCTATATATCTCTGCCTAAAATATTTCATAATACAGAAGAGAATCTGGATCAGTATGTGGACATATTTTACTATAAACATTTGTCCTTTAACTTCTTTCATTTACTTTTCCACTTAATCTACTTTTTACATGTTAAAATATTTTGGGGTTATAACTTACTTTCCTGACACTTTGGATCACTTTCTTCATAGTCAGCCCCCTGGATAAACTGTAAAATGTTCTGTTTAAAGAACCTCTGGGCCAAGTCCAACACATTTTCTCCGTTATCATTGAAGGCTTTTAAAGCTTCTGTTGCACAACTCATTCTACTGAGTAAGAATTTGAAACAGTGAAGGTGGCCTTCCATGGCTGCTAAGTGAACTGTAGGTGAGAGAAAAGATTAATTTTTAAACCGACAGTAAGATAACTTGAAAAAAGTAATACGCTGGTTTGAATCCTCACTGGGAGATCACTACAACTGTCCTATGTAACAGGGACTTATTCAGAGCAAGGATAACAATTCCCTATTCAGTCAGCCTTCTAGTCGTGCCAAAGAAGTAAACTAAATGCTTGAATAGTGACATTTGTCATGAGTGTACAAAAGCCAGTTTCTGAGGCCAAAGAACAGGCCCCAGAAAATTATCTTGGGAAGTGAAATCACAATTATGCAGTTTATAGTTACATGAGAAAATGTTTAACATGTAAGATAGATTAAGAAGGGGAGGGAGGCAGGAAATTTTTAATATTTTTTAGAAAAGTGGAAGAAATACTCCAAAATGGTGATGTTATTTTTCTCACTATGTAAATTGTTTATCTAAATTTATATATTTGTTTTTACATAATATTTGTTATTTTCATTATAAGCAGTAAGCTAGAACAAAACTATACACTGAGCACACGCACACCTATCTCATCATTCCTACCATAAGTCCTTGGAAATAATAGAAAGAATATTTTTTAAAGTTATAAAGGGATAAAAAAAACAAGAACAGACAAGAAATGTTAAGGAATTCCAGGAAGAAAATATATTGAGTCACATTGAGGGAGAGCCACAACTCAAAATCTGCAAAAAATTAGGAATGGTTTGGGGTGTTTCAAGCCTATAGGCAGAGAGAGAGAGAGAGAGAGAGAGAGAGAGAGAGAGAGAGAGAGAGAGACTTTACACCCCTTGAGAAGTGAGTATTTGGAAAATAAGCCAAACCATATATAAGTTTTAACTTTGTAGAAGCAGAACCATGCCCAGATGGCCAACATAACTCAAGAGAAACAAGTCACAATGTCCAAAAGATAAGTCGCTGGCACATACCTCTCCATACTCCACACCGAATCTCCTATTACAAAACTCCCCTGAAACTTCATACTCCTCTAACAGCTTACTCTTTGTACACACATCTTACAGAAATTTCTACCTGAACATGTGAAAAACTGAACTTCTTATTCACCTTGCATACATTTCATTAGATGGTTCGATCCCCGGCTGCCCCCCGGCCACCAGAGGAGGGTCCCGGCCACATGGCGCGCAGACCTCTCCTGCCGCCCACTGCTCCCCTCAGCAGTATGCTTCGGTCCTTCGGCCTGCTCTGCTCCCCGCTCTGGCTCTGGTGAATTCTCTCACCCTCCCACGTTTCTGACTATACCCAGTGCTTGTATAAAATAAATAAATCTTTGGAAAAACAAAAACAAAAACCTTGAAACCATCCTTGACTCCCCTTTCTGTCACTCCTACATCTATCAGTCAGCAAATCTTACTGGCTTTATCTTTTTTTTTATGCTTCACCAATCTATCCCTACTTTCTCTACTCTTCAGGCTCCTGGTAATCATGTTTTTTGTTTCTATGGATTTGACTTAAATTGTTTTCTTGTTCCACATCTAAGTGATACCAAGCAGCATTTGTCTCTCTTTGGCATAGATCCTTTAGCATAGCCCTCAAGTTCTATCTTCAAAATACATACAGATCACATTAGTTCTTACTATCTCTGCTTTTTCTACAGGGGCCCAACCCAAAAGGTAGTTTATTATTTCATCAGGCTTCTAACTGCTCTATTTCTGCCTTGCGACCTTCTGATCCTTACTACAGCCTACTATAAACATAATAGCCAAAACAATCTTCTTAAACAGTGCGATTGTGTCACCTTCTGCTCAAAACTCTCTAATGACTCAGATTCTCTCTCTGACCTCACTGTCTTTTACTCACCCCACTTCTGTTCCAGCCACACTGAACTGCTGTTTATTACTCGCTGTTATTCAAACACTCCAGGCACCCATCTGCCTAAGGGCTTTACACCTGCTCTTCCTCTCCCTGAAATGTTTCTCCCCAGGATATCCACCAGAATACCTGCAATTACTCTCTCCAGCCCTTCAGGTCTTTCTGCAATTGTCACCTCCTCAATGAGGGCTTCCCTAACCACCTTTTTTAAAACTTCACCCCCTAATCCTCTCTAGTACCCCTTCCTACTTTACTTTGTCCAAAAATATTTTTCCATTTAATGTAACATGTCTTGCTCATTTATTTTCTTATCTCTCTCTCATCTCACCACCACATGAAAATAGGGCCTTTTGTCCCCTTTATTTTCTTGTGACATCCCCAGCATCTAGAACTGTGATTGAAACACAGTAGTTGCTCAGAAAATAAACATCAAATTAAAAAAAAAATTAAGAGAAAGGTCTGAATACAAGCAGCCTACATTTTAAATTTTGAAATAGTACATTTATTTTATGCATTTTGGGGGGGTTGTGTGTTTTTTAATTATTTCTATTGAGGAAATGTTGATTTACAACAATGCACATTATTTCAGGGGTACAGGGTCACACAAGTACAGAAGAGAAGGGAGTAAGTAAAAAATGATCAGGTCAGATAGGGTGGTTGGTTTCTTTGTTTTCTCACATCAGAAGGGTAATGTGCGGGTATCCAAACAAGGCTTAAGGGAGGCCGATCAAACACAAAGGCGTGAACCCCCAAAATCATGCTTATAAACTGGGAAAGGATCCAGAGTGTGTGTTTTAAGGGCACAGGTTCCCACCACCAAAGCTCCAATGATCCCCCATCACAGCCGAGACCACATTCTTAAACTTCACATTCTACTATCATAAAATAGACTACACACGTTTAAGATAATTATATATATTTAAAGAAATATAAAGTTTTTTTTTTAACCAAGCAGGCAAGGAGAAACTAACAAAAATGATCAGGAATATTTGATAAAGAAGCAAATGAAAAAGAAACAGCCCCCTACTTTTTTTACACACACACACACACACACACACACACACACACACACAATATCAGTCCTAGGTAGGCTGGGGATCTAAATGTGAAAGCAAAATAATAAAACTTCTAGAAGTTAATACAAAATTGCCTCCCTGGTGGCTCAAGGGGTTAACACGCAGCACTATGAAGTAATCCGCAGCTACTGCGGCATGAGTTCAATATTCAGCCAGGGAGATATCCACATGGCACAACAGACCTCTCCTGTCTCACCTGCTGCTCCCCTCAGCAGTGTCTTTCCATTAATCTGCCTGATCTGCTCCCAATTCCATCTCTGTGAATCCTCTCACCCCCCACACCTCTGGCCTGTTCCCCAGTTCTTGTATGCATAAATAAATAAAAACCTTTAAAAAAAAAAAAAGAAGTTAATATAAAATAATATCCTCATCACTATACAGATTTTCTTTTTTGACATTACAGAAAACACTAACCATAAAGGAAGAGCTTATTAAACTAGATTACAGGGTTTCCCCCGTGGTGCAGCGGTTAAGTGTTGGGCTGCAAAGCTGCCGCAGCCTCTGCAGCACCGTTTCAATCCCCGGCCACCAGGTGAGGGTCCCACATGGTACGCAGACCTCACCTGCCGCCTGCTGCTCCCCTCAGCAGTGTACTTCATCAGTCTGCCTGCTCTGCTCTCCCCTCTGGCTCTGGTGAACTTTCTCACCCTCCCGCGCTTCTGACTGTACCCAGTGCTTGTATGTATAAATAAATAAATAAATAAATAAAGTTTTTATTAATGAAAAACAAAATTGCATTTGTTGGTTACCTGGAAGATTTCCATTAGAGTCCACATCTTCTATGCCACATCCCCATTTAACTAGAAGTTGCAAACAGCCAAGCCGCCCATGAAAAGCTGCATAATGTACAGGTTTCCATTCTCTCTTATCAGTCACACTGGGATCCTAGATGTAACATTTATAAGTATTTGTAGGGAAAAAACTAAGTCTAGCAACGTGCTTCTGCAAATGAGAGTTGGAGGCTGGTTCTTAACATTACAAAGAAAATATATTAAATAGAAAAATTTCCTGCAACAACTCATTTGAACATGAGCAAATAAGATATAATGAAATTTTATAAAATAGCCTTTTTAAAAAGAACATAACTTATTACATAAAATAGTTTTTTAAAAGTAACCAGTAACTTTATTGTTCATAGGAAAAAGAATAAAATGGAAGTGATGGCATGAACTCAAAGGATCAAATCATAATTTTTAGATCATAAACACTTAATGATAAAATATTTAATAGGCTTTCACTTTCTCTCTACCTATAGAAATACCAAGTCTTACCATAAAGTCTTCAACATAGGTACTTCTGTTGCTATCAGAGCTGTTTTTTATAGTCACTGGGTAATATTAAAAATAAACATTGCAATGAATAAATTTCTGGACATATAAATCATTTTATAAATGAGTATATGAAGTAAAGAGATACAAAAGAAACACAGGCAAACACAAAAATTCACAAAGATTTACAACCACTAGTTAAGATGTGATCTGGAAACTTAGATATTTTTCCCAGTTAAATTCTGAACTAGTAGGAAGGACCCAAAGCTTCTGAAATAGTTTGTACTACTAAATATTAAATGGTTTCTGAAGATTTATCTAAATTATTGCTTCCAAACTTAATGACAGAAAAACTAAAGAGAGAGATTAAATTACTTCCCCCAAATCACCTATAGGATTGAAGACAAATAAATGCAATTCATTGGTGATTATAAATTCTCACATATTAACAGGAATCTCTCACCACTCCACTTCGGAGCATCACTTGCAGAGTGAAAGAATGTCCGTGTGTTGCAGCAAGGTGTAAAGGGGTACATCCACGATCATCCTGAGCTGAAAGATTTGCTCCATTAATTATAAGAGCCTAAAACAGAGGTAAGAATCAGTTTACATATAGATGTTAAATTATAAGTGCAAGCAATTTTTTTCTCTTCAATTTTTATTCTTGTATAATTTCAGACTTACAGGAGAGTTGCAAAAACAGTACAAAGAATTCCCTTCTATCCTTCATTCAGATTTCCTAAGTGTTAATATTTGAACCCACCACTTGCTTTATCCTTCCCTCGCCTTGTTTCTCTGTCTCTCATTCCCTCCCTCTTGTTATCCTTTTCTCCCCTCTGCCTTGGAGTAAATAACAGATGCCATTTTATACCTCAGTAGTTTTCTATTTCATTTATACAGTCACTCTCCCCCTATAGTGAGCTCAAGGTCAATGGCATTTCCTTAAGCTTTATCCTCCTTAGCTGGTTTTTTTTTTTTTTTGAGCCTCAATTTTATGATCTATAAAATGGGGGATTAAAATACATAATTTTGGAGAAATCAAATGCTGTCCAAAAATTAACAACAGTGTAAGAAAATATTAATATTTACATTCATTTATACTTCCCTTAGTTTTATACTGTAACTGATACTTTGCCTAACCTCTACCTTCACTTTTACAGCCCCAGTGGAGCCTGGCTTTCCTATCCCTCTGAATTCTTCTCTGAATTCTTTACTTACATCTCTGCTTCCTCTCACACTTACTAATAATAATTTTCAACATTTAGTTCTCAATACTTTATACTCTTCTGCACACTTCAACACTCCTGAAATGCTTATCTCCAATCCCCTTACAAATGCCAGGGCCTAGGTACCTGAATGACCAACAGACACTTTAAACTCAAGATATTTTTTTCCTGAATTTCCCCTGCCTTTCAGATTTTCCTATTTATAGTGTCATACGTATTTGTCATTCAGACTAAACCTTGAAATTCTCAAAACTGCAATGTACATTGCCTGCTTTGCAAGATGTCTTGAATCATCTTCTTGGTTTCCCACTGCCACCACCTAATTTCACACTTTATGGCTAGTTATTACAGCAAAAGTCTCTAACTTCAACTACCACGTCTTAACTTCAACTCTCATCTTGGATATATCTTGCTAGGATTATTCCCTGAAATACCGCTTTCATTATCTCATTCCTCAGTTAATATCCATGTTCTGTGTACGCATGTGTATACATATACATACATACAAACATAAACATATATAAATATATATCTATAAATCATATAAAAATTCTTTTTATACAAATGAATATAAAATCTTTACCCTACTTCTAACACATTTTGAAAGTCTGGCTTATTCAAATTTAGTTCATAACAGTCTGTACGACAAACCATCTACACTCTATCAAACTAATACAATGATACATCCCTGAACACAATTCATTTTTCCATTTCAGACTCCACACATAATTAGACCATAGAAGTTAATAGGGCAAAGTCTAGGCTCAAATTCTGCCTTTCACTTACTTAAACCATGGTACTTAACTCTGAATCTGTTGCCTAATATATAAAAAAGAGGAATTGATTACTTTATTGTTTAAATGAAGTGGTACAAGGAAGATTATGATTGACATATAAAAACATGTTCAATAAATGATAATCACTATTTGTATTTGATCCTAACATATTTCTTACCTATTAGGCTACGTCACCATATGCCTCTTTGAAATCAACCCATTCTCTTAGACTTGGCTGAAAATCTTATTTCTTCCATTTGTGATTCCTCCATCTCATCTTAAATTCTACAGTTCTTCTTACCTATACTTTCCATTAAAGCCTTAATAAGAAACTGCTTTGTATTCTTTTGTAACTCACTGAGTAGAGCTCCTGTCACTCCAAAGAGATCTTAAACTTTTCAGAGGCAGGAGCTGCTTTTACATTCCTCCAAATTTCAGTCTAGTCTCCAAATTCCAGTCTATTTCTGTACCATTGATTTAACCTAGTTGCTTTACAATAAAGTAGATCCTGCAACATATTAATGTGTTACTCTTGTCATGAAAAGTATTTAAAAAGGAATCTTTGGCATGGCAAACAATGAAGGAAATAATCTGTGCATTACTGTGATATCCCAAAATAACCCAGATAGCCAGCTACTTCAGAAATAAAAGGACCTCTTCTCTTACACCACTTGTTAAAGTGGATCATTAGCACCAAGTTATCTAAGTCATGGAATCTACTAAGGTCTTGTTTAGAAGACAGAACTAACTCTATGGGGGCCTCCCCAGTGGCGCAGCGGTTGAGCGCTGGGTTGCGAAGCTGCCTGCGGCCTCTGCCGCGCTGGTTCGATCCCCGGCTGCTCCCCGGCCACCAGAAGAGGGTCCCACATGGCGCGCAGACCTCTCCTGCCGCCCGCTGCTCCCCTCAGCAGTGTACTTCGGTCTTTCTGCCTGCTCTGCTCCCCGCTCTGGCTCTGGTGAATTCTCTCACCCTCCCGCGCTTCTGACTGTATCCAGTGCATGTATAAAACAAACAAATAAATAAATAAAACATGCCTCTATTAAAAAAAAAAAAAAATTAAAAAAAAAAAAAGAACTAACTCTATGGGATCAAATTATTAGAATAAAAATCATAGCCCAATTTTTTAAAAGTAACCAGTTGTTATTACCTGCATACAAGCATCCTGACCCCTGATTGCAGCTATATGAGCTGCTGTCCAACCTCTCGTGGTTACTTGTGTGATATCAGCTCCATGCCAGAGGAGCCAATGAAGACACTAAATTAAGAAAATAACCATGTTAACAAGTGATAAAACACATGTTTTTTTCACATTTTTATAACTTTTTAATTTAGCTTATCATCATGAAATGCCATGATGCCATCAGTTGTTACTGCGAGTGAAATGCTCATGCAAATCTTAGTTTGGCCAATACTGTGCAACCCGAATAAAACACCTGTGAGCCAACACCACTCAAGGAACAGTTGACAACCTTCTACAACAGATCTTTAAATGGGCCCAGAAGCTTTCATATCAAGTATTGTTACTTGACACTCTTTCAGAGTATTGATACTCTTTTAAAAAGTAGTAGCTTTAAAAGAAAAATGAGAGTATGGGAATAAAATCTATCTTAAGATTTAAAAAAATTAACCTAAGTTTCAGTATAACACAGTACTAAGAGGTCTCTAGCACATATGGTGTTGTTACTGTCTTTATATGTTCACGTTTATAGATTCTACTTTCAAGAAGTTTCTCCCTTTTTAAGAGAATCAGTTGTATCATTGGAATACCCTGATATTATCAGTCATAGTCATATCATTTTTGAAAAGGATTAAAATTTAGGTGTCATGGAAATTAATGACTTATATACAACATGGAGGAAGGGGAAGGTTCAACCTTACAATCAGAGTAAGTCATTAATTTATTCAACAAATATTTATAGAAGGATTATGATTTCAACTGCTGGAGAATAAAACCACTATAAACATTCATGTATAGGCTCTTTATTTCTCCTGGGTAAATGCGTAGAAGTAAGATTCTTGAGACATAGGGAAGTATGTGTTTAACTTTATAAAAAACTGCCAAACTATTTTCTAAAATGGCTATACTATATTACAGTCCTACCAGCAATATTTGAGAGTTCCAACTGCTTCATGTCCTTGCCAATACTTGGCATTGTCATCTTTTTGGTTTCCTGTTGCCATTCTAGTAGTTCGTAGTAGCATCTCATTGTATTTTAATTTGTATTTCCCTAATGGTTAATGATGTTGAACATCTTTTCAGGTATTCAGTGACCATCCACATGCTCTCTTTGAGAAAATTTCTCCTGAAATCACTTTTCAATTGAGATTTTTGTCTTCTTACCATTCAGTTATGAGAGTCTCTTATACATTCTGGTTAAAGTTCTTATTTGGACAGATGATTTGCAAAGATTTTTTTCATATGTTTTCTTCTGAAAGTTTACATAAGGTTAAATTTCAATTTTTTTAATGATCTGTTTTGAGTACATTTTTGCATATGGTTCTATGTATGGGTTGAGGTTCATTTTCTTACATATATATGTCCAATTATGCCAGAACCATTTAATAAAAATACTATCTGTACTCTATTGGGTTGCATTTGTATCTCTGTCAAAAATCAATGGACCAATCAGCAGGACTTCAGAAATGGCTAAATGAGGGGCTTGGGAAATCCTCCCCAAGAAGCAATGATAAAACTTGACAAGGTTACCAAAAAATAACCATTTAAAGACTCTGGAAGTTGACCAAAGGGATATTAAAAAAAAAAAAAACACCAACTATGCATTCAAGAAAATCTACTGAATCTTGATGAGAATGAGAAGAGTGTATGGTCTGTAAGCTTGGTACCACAATGATCCCTACCCGCAAACGGATGGTGCTGAATGTCTACCTGAGTGGACAGTTCCATTATCCAACTAGAGGAATTGCCTTTATTTAGAGTGAATATGGAATATTTCTTCTCAGACACATTGTCAAAAATGCGCCACTTGCCAAAAATCTTGAAAAGGACCACTGAAGCTAGCCTAAAGACATAATACTGGCTGGGATAAACTAAAGATCACCACAAAAATCCAAAAATTGAAACAAAGTGGGTCATGCTAAGATTCCATTTATCCTTTGTTATGTTAAAAAATTTTGTGCATAACATATTAAAAAACTAGCAACAACAAATGTTGGCGAGGGTGTGGAGAAAAAGGAACTCTCCTGCACTGTTGGTGGGAGTGCAAACTGGTCCAACCACTATGGAGAGCTGTGTGGAGATTTCTGGACCTACTAAACATAGAGCTTCCATATGATCCAGCAATTCCACTCCTAGGTATTTACCCAAAGGACACAGAAACATCAATTCCAAAGAGCACCTGCACCCCTATGTTTATAGCAGCACTGTTTACAATAGCTAAGCTTTGGAAACAACCCAAATGCCAAAAAATAGATGACTGGATCAAGAAGATGTGGTACATATATACCATGGAATATTACTCAGCATTCAAAAAAGATAAACACATGCAATTTGCAGCAACATGGATGGCGCTGGAAGGGATCATGCTCAGCAAAATAAGCCAAAAAGAAAAAGAAAAATACCGGATGGTCTCACTCATAGCAGGAATCTAGAAAACTTAGATAAGGGACCAGGAAAATGAATATAAGAAAGTGAAAATCAAAATCAACAAAAAACTATGAACCAGAGACACTTTTTGGGGGGTGGGGGGCGGGAGGGGAAGGATTGGGGTCAGAATGGGGCGTTTGCAATTGTATGGGGAATATAAAAATAAAATTTATTATTAAAAAAAAATAAAAAAATAAAGATGTTACTGAGATGTAAAAAAAAAAAAAAAATTTGTGCATATATAAGGTTGCTCATACTCAAGAAGATGAACAACATTTGCTGGACATCACTGGCTAACCATGAGACATTGCAAACATATTAAGGAAAAAAAAATCTCAGGCTGACTTGTAAACTACTTGGAATCTGAAAATAATCCCCATGTCATACACAGAATCATCAACAACAGTTAGACCCCTTACCAATTTAAGGTATTTAAGTGCAACCTTTGCTCAACCATTGGCTGGCCACTAATCTATGATGATCTTGGGGTGGCCCCTAGGAAGATAGGCTTAAAAACAAGGATTAAAAAAAATTAAGCAGTGGTCACACATTGTGAGGGAAATAGATTCCATAAAATTAGTCCAGTGTAAATCAGCAAACAAACAAACACGTAGTAACAACTACTGCTAGGAGGGGTTGAAATAGAAGGATCAAAATCTAGAGTTGGTTGAATATAAAATGTGCCAATTTGAAAATATTAGTCAAACTAAAAAACTATAATACACACAAAGAAAACAAAGATGTGTAACCCATGTAAAATATATCTGAAAATAAAAGTTTACTTTAGGGACTCAATAGCTGATTTCATCAGGAAAAAAATGAAGTCTAAGAAATTATGGTTTCACCAGTTATTAATTTAGTAATTACTTCATATTACCAACATATAAGTACAGTAAGTTTTAAGAAATTTCAGAAAGTATAACATAATATAAAGACATTAATGCAGTATTCACATAGAGAAATGGGAGATGACCTTGAAATGAGAAGGGGGAAAGGCATTAAAACACTTTGGTTTAGATTTATTTTTGTTAAAATTCAACGAATATTTCTAAAAATAAATAAAAATTTAATTCACCAAATTTAGCAATACAACAAATACTTACTGAGAACCTATGATATTCCTCCAGTACACCAGCAACTATGCTAGAAATCGCAGGAACACAGATAAAGAAGAACAAAATGGTATCTTCAAAGAGCTCAAAATAACAAAGATTTAACAATTCAAGGTATGTGTGTGTGTGTGTGTGTCTCTGTATGGGTAGCACTAAGGAGAGAGTAGCTAGCTGGGGAGACTGAGAGAAGTAACACAGCAAATACTGCCTGACTTTGATTTCAACCAGGTAACCAGTGGAAAGAAGCAAGACCCAGGACATCCAACAGCAAAGTCTCTGATAATATGAAATTGCAGACAAGTTTGGGAAATGACAACAGTCACCAGTTCTGCCCATAAAACGAGTATTAAGGGAAATAAGGTTGGAGATAGAAGTATACCATATTAAATAATCTGAACTTTATCCTATGGGAGAGAGTAAATGCAGAGACGTTAAGGGTTTTAAGTAATATCAAACGTAATTTTGGGAGTGATAAATTTGTATATAGAATCTGGACTAGAGGTGGGTAAGACAGAAAAGAAAGAAATCAATGAGGTCTAATGCAGTTATTATGAGGACAGAGGAAAAGATGGAACAGATCAGTTCTCACTGCATGAATATGCCTCAGGAAGAACACCTTTATTTAGACAAATGTTGATAATGTGTTTTGCTGCTATGAAAGATGAAAACTCAATAATGATTCAAAAGCCATTAGTGTGCAAAGCTAAGAAAGGAAGGGAAAAATTCAAAGGTTTAGTGTTAGAATATTAAAGTTTACAATATCAGTCAGACACGCATGAACTGCTGAACAAGCACCAGATATATAAGTCAAAATTCATGGAAGAAAGTAAACAATTGAATTATTATGCACAAGTGATAAAGTTGAGGACGTGTGAAAGACTACCTAGAGAGAAAGACAAAGGAAAGAAAGGTCATGGAAAAAGCATAAAAAGTACCTATATTAACAGAAAAGACAGAGTAGGTTAAACAAAGAATACTAGGATTAATCACAGAGGTTGAAAGAATACCAGGAAGTGATGAATCCTTAAGAAGTCTTATACTATTTGAATATAGAGTAAAATCTGTATTTTCCCCATTCAAATCACTGTCCCCCCAAAATAAAAACAAAAACTGAGAAAAGCAGAAAGAAAACTCCACTGTTGATGAAACTAGGAGACACCTGAAACCACACCACAAAAACAAATGAAAAAGCTTCCAGCATGTAGATCAAACAGAAATGTAGAAGAGGGGCCTCCCTGGTGGTGCAAGGGGTTAAGACGCAAGCTATGAGGCTATTCGCAGCCACTGCAGCACGAGTTCGATCCCCGGCCAGCCAGGGAGCTACCCACATGGCGCAATAGACCTCTCCTGTCTCACCCACTGCTCCCCTCAGCAGTGTGTTTCAGTCAGTCTGCCTGTTCTGCTCCCCACTCTGTCTCTGGTGAATCCTCTCACCCCTCACATGTCTGGCCTGTACCCCAGTTCTTGCATGCATAAATAAATAAATCTTTAAAAAAAAAAAAGAAACGTAGGAGAAAAACGGCAGAGAATATACCCACCCAGGGTGGCAAGTGCAGAAAGACCTGTCAAGGCAGATTTCTTCCAAGCGAAGAGGAAGCCACTAAAAGGCCAGAGTACAACTCCTTGTTTATAACAAGTCAAGCGGAACACACAAGCCAGTGGAGGGAGATTCTCTACACCAGAGTTGGTGCCAAGAAACAGTAGAGTGCAAAGAAAACAAGAAATCACACAAAGAAGACTTATTCATAGAAAGCAGCCACTGAATGTGTGGCAGGGAAAAAAGAGACCACACTGTAAACAGATCTACTGCAACCTACCAACCCACAGGCAAAATGTAGTAGCTAAAATAAGCCCTCCCGCACACAACTTTGAATCATGAGAAAAATTCCAGTTTGCTTAGTAGACAGCCAAGGATAAGAAGTCATGCATAAAAATATTCACTAAGCACTGCTTGGACTAGCTAAAAATTGAAAACAACAAAAAAGTCAACAAATAGATGAATTCTGGCATTACTATAAGAAAAGATTATTACAACACGGCTGCAAAAAATGAACTAGGATACACATATGGAACCACATATATGAAAACCACGATGTCATTCAAAACAATGATAGGACCATTTAATAATGACATAAAACATAGGTGAGAAAATCAAATACTATACTCAGGGCAACAGTTATCCCAGAAGCGGGAAGGAGAGGACAGGCCCCTGGGAGGGTGCTCAGGGACTTCAAATATCTGCACAGTCCATCTTTTCCAAAAATCTGAAGCAATATCGCAAAAATGTTAGGATTTGATAAGAGGCTAGGGATTCATTATGTTATCCTCTTTAAGTTATCCTCTATGCTTTCCCTTGGAAACTAGTTACCACTTTGCAAGGAAGCATAAACTAGTCCACATGGAGAGGATTCACAACGGGCGCACATGGAGAGGAATTAAGGTGCCTGACTGCAGTTAGCATCAAGCACAAGACATCCTGGTGAACAAGCCTTCAGATGATTCCAGTCCAGCTTTTGAACCTTCTAGCTTCATGAAGCCCCAGATAGCACGGTCCAGACACAAACTGCCCCTGAAATCGATTGGCTTCTGAGTATAAACAAATGGTTATTTTACACCATGACATTTTGGAACCATTTGTTATAAAGTTATAGTGACCAGAACAACTAAATATTAGACTGAATTAAAAAAAATTTATAGTGCCTAGCATAAGGTTTCAGTCCTGTTTGCTAAATTTACAAAAGTGCTAATAACTGTAAACTTGCCTCAATCTAATAATTAATATAGCTCCTTACCTCCAAACTTCCAGAATGTGCGGCCCAATGTAAAGGAGTAAATTTATGGAGAATATCCACTTCATTAATGTTGGCTCCACGTTCTACTATTTCTGAAAGCTGCTTTACATCGCCAGCTCGTACTGCATCATGCATGCTCCCGAAATGCACCTTCCTTCTGGCACCTATTGAAATATCAAATTGCTTAAAATATATTATAAAGCTAAAAAAAAAAAAAAAAAAAAAAAAAAAAAAAACACTTAAGAAATGATGCAACGGAAAGTAAAAAATCACTTTGGCTTTTGAAATAATTTACTACAAAGATGTTTATGATTAACATCTTTACCAGATTCCCACGCCAGTTTTAACATATAAAGAACATGGAAGCTATCACTCAAGTACGTACAGGAGGAAAGTTCAACAAATGGAAAATCAACAAATTTTCTTGGGCTCAGAGAATTGAAGTCTCAGGGCAGACTGTTACCCTGAAATCTGGAAAGATAAGCAAATAGAAATCTAGTAAAGTTCAGTTTACCTGGAGCAGATAACACTGGAATCATAAACTGATAGAAGTACTTACGTGGCAAGTTTGATACATTGCCAGAATTTGGGTATTAAACTGGCCTAAGAATGAGAAACTCCTCCAGGTCACAGGAGAGTCATAGATTTTACCTTCAGAAACCTGCCAGGTTATCAATGTGAAAAGCCAAGAAAAACCTCCTATCTTTGGCAGGGGGAGGGGGAAAGTAACCATTCTGAAATAGGCCTACTGCATCCTCAAAGGCCTGCTCTCCAGTGGAAAAAACTTACCTCAGAGAGGCAGATATATTTTATCAATATTTTCTTACCTTTCTCATTTGTCCTACAAACTTGGCAAGTCACAATTTTTACTTCATACACTTCACAGTGTTTTATATTTTAAAGCCTAATGTCCCAAACATCAAAAGTAATTATCAGGGGCCTTCCTGGTGGCGCAGGTGGTTGAGCTCAGTACTGTGAGGCTGTCTGCAGCCTCTGCAGTGCCGGTTCGATCCCCACCAGCCGCTGAGATGCCCGCATGGTGCAGCAGACCTCTCCTGTCTCGCCCGCTGCTCCCCTCAGCAGTGTATTTCAGTTAATCTGCCTGTTCTGTTCCCCGCACTGTCTCTGGTGAATTCTCTCACTCCCGCATAGCTGACCTGTGTGTGCCCCAGTTCTTGTATAAATAAATAAATCTTGGGGAAAAAAAAAGTGATTATCAGGCTTACTGTCCTGTGTAATATTTTAAATGTGAGCCAGAGAAAATAATGGCTTTTAAGAATAAGGAGACATTTGTTGGAAGAGGAAGAAATTCAGTCAAAGTGTCTCCTAAACAAAACAAACACACACAAAAACGGTACAATTCCTCATATACAGTTGTTTTGAAAACAACTCACCAAAGATTTTGGCAGATAATCTATAAACCTTCCTCTGTTTATCTATGTGTATGCCCTCTTCCACAATTAGAACATTAATATCTTTTTTTTTAAGATTTATTTAGTTAGTTAGTTAGTTATACAAGCACCGGGTACAGTCAGAAGCGCGGGAGGGTGAGAGAATTCACCAGAGCCAGAGCGGGGAGCAGAGCAGGCAGAAGGACCGAAGCACACTGCTGAGGGGAGCAGCGGGCGGCAGGAGAGGTCTGCGCGCCATGCGGGACCCTCCTCCGGTGGCCAGGGAGCAGCTGGGGATCGAACCAGTGCTGCAGAGGCCGGGGGCAGCTTCTCAACCCAGCGCTCAACCTCTGCGCCACCGGGGAGGCCCAGAACATTAATATCTTGAGAGTTGGCATCATATCTTTCACCAATCCTTAGAAAATACTAAACATTTTACACAAAACCCCTTCTAAGCATCTAACATGTGCCAGACATAGATGGAAAACAGACAGATTTAATTTTCTTTCCACCAACACTTTAAAATCTATTTGGATAAATATGATGAAACCAAAAACATTTCAGTTATGACTTGAGAGGGAAAATCAAGGAGTAAGAGGAGGAGGATGAAACATTTGAGTAAAACCCTGAAGAACAATTAAAACATGGTCTCTGTCCTCAAGGAACTCACAGAAAGTTACAAACACGAATTATAAAATAATGAGGTGAGAGCAATGACAAATATTTCACAAGAACTATTCACAAGCACCGAAGACTTCTAACTCAAGTAGGAATAATAGGGAGTAAGAAGATTCCTGTGGAAGGCAACAATGAAGATGTCTTCAAGGATTAGCAGGAGTTTAAAATAAGGGCAGGCAAAAGCATCTTTGATCACATGAACAGCAGGATGTGTGGAGAAACCTAAAGCATAAAGACCAAGGAAAAGAGACTGGAGTTGGACAGCCTGTGGTTTAACTTGCTGAACCTGAGCAGAAAATGCAGTCACTAAAGGGCTCTAAACAGAAGAGTACCAAGGATCAGAGTGGAATGCTGAGTTAGCCCTCAAGAGAGAGAGGGGCAGTAGAAACAGAAAAGGAGACAGATTCTATAAACATTAGGGAAATCGGATGAGCTGAACTTGGATGGATATAACCGGTGACACAGAGGAAAAGTAATGCATTAACTCGGAAAGGTCTGGCTATGGGCACAGCACTGCATTTTGGTAAAAGTGATCTCGTAGTCCTTAAGGAAATCTTCCAGGAGGGAGCTGAACACGCGTCTGCAGCTCAGAGGGCAGATGTGGAGTTCAGCTGTCAGCCTTAGCCACGTCTCACTCTGAGGTCGCTTTCCCTAACCCCATCTCACCGCACACTGGAGCCAACGGCACTTCACCCTTATAACATACATCACACTAGGCATTACTTGCCCAGTTCTATCTTCCCTGCTAGCAGGCAAAGACTATGCCTGTCTTCGTCACTGACATCTCCTCAGGCACAGCAATAGACACTCAGGGGACGTTAAATGAATAACATAAATCTGGGGTCATCAGTGGGTTTGAGCTCATACACATGCCGAGCACATCTGAGCACCAGCACAGGCAGCATCCGGGGGAAAGGCAATATTTAAGGAGAAAATGGGGAAAAAATACGCCAGTCAAGGAAAAGGAGAGTTAATGAGGTGGAAGGAAGAAAACTAGGTACGTCTAAGCTGCAAGGTGTCCAACGCTGCAGAGACACCAAGATTTAAAAGGATTCCGAAGATGTACCACGACTTGATGTCAGCAAGGGTAGGAAGCCTCAGGAGCCGCGCGGCTAGTTGCGGAGAGAGGGGGTTATCAGTGACCGGGGGGGGGGGGGGGGGGGGGGGGTGTGCAGAGCGAGCGATCGGGGTGCACAGCGAGTGATCAGGCGTGCAGAGCGACCGATCGGGGTGCAGAGCGATCAATCCAGATGCAGAGCGAGTGATCCTGGGTGCAGAGCGACGATCGGGGTACAAAGCGAGCGATGGGGGTGCAGAGAGGCCGCCAAGGGAGACGCGCGGGGAGGGAGAAGGCGGGTCCGAGCTAAGGCGGGGGCCAGCTGGGCCCAGGCTCCGGGGGGTCGCGGTCCGGCGGGGGGGGGGGTGCGCGCCGGCGCCCCGGAGCCCCGAGAGCTGTGGCGTCCAGGCCCTGGCGCGGCCCCGCGCGCCGCCCCTCGGGGTCAGGGCCGTCGCCGTCCCAAGCCCCGGGCCCTCCGCTCTCCCAGGGACGCCTGAGGAGGTCGCGCTCTCCCCGACTGTCCCCCCGACCCCCTCAGGCGCCCCGAGCGCGGCCGCCGCCGTCCCGGCCCTCACGCCGGGCCCTGGGGCTCCCGCCGCCGCCGCGTCCCGCGCCCGCTGCCCCAGGGCTGGGCCGAGGCCGCCCTGCCGCCGGCTTCCCCGAGCCCCCTCTCAAGGCCCCCCCAGGATCCCCCCAAGCCCTCGCGCCCCCCCGAGCCGCCGCGGGCGCCGGCGCCCACTCACTCCGCACGGCTCCGGGCGGCGTCCGCCCGCCCCGCGGCTCCTCTCACGGCTCCCGGCGCCCGGCCGCGGCGGGGGCGCGGTCGCGGGGTGTCGGCTGCAGGGCCCCTCCGAGGCGCTGTCCCGCGTCCCGAGTCCCGCCCGCGGGGAAAAGCGGCGGCGGCGCGGTCGCCGTGGAAACGCGCGCTTCCGGCGTGCTGCCGTCACTTCCTGTTCCGCACGGCCGCGTCACTTCCGGCTCCCTCACCTTTTCCAGGCTCGTCCTGCGGAGCGCGGCGGTGAGCTGCGGCCGGTGTGCCGGGGGGTCGCGCTTCCCCGCCGGGCCCCCGTGACTGCCCCCGGCGCCCCGGCTCCCTCGCGCCCCCCGCGGCCCGGCGGCGCGGCCGGAGCCTCGGGCCTGCGGTCTGCGCGGGCGGCCGCGGCCCGGCGGGCCCTGCGTCCTTGGCGGCCGGCGGGGAGGTCCCGGGCCGGGGTCGCCGGAGGAGGCCGCGCTCGGGGCTGCACGGGCGCGGACCAGGCGTGCGGGGAGCCGGCCGCCGAGCGCGCCCCCGGAGGCGGGCTAGCGCCGGGCTCGGGTAACCGCTTGGTTCTTAATGCTCACAAACATGTTGGAAGGTAGGTGTTCACGCACAGCCCCGGAACCCCAGGGTCCAGGTGTTAGGAAGGGGCTAAGGCCAGACGGCAGGTAAGTCGTGGAGCTCGCAGGAAGACACAGGCCACGGGCAGGAGCTGCTCCCTTTCTCTGGACCGCACATGCACGGCTGCCTGCGCTGCAGTGGCTGCTCTCAGCAAGCTAGCCGGAATTTTTCTGCAACCCAGTTACTTCCATGGATTCCTACAGTCACGGTGTGCTGCAAATTTATGGGTCAGGTTTGGTGCTTGCAACTGAGAACACATGTGCATTCTCTGCCCTCAGTGAATGTCGGCAACCTTGATTCCCCCACTCAACCTTTCTTTCATCCTAATTGCTTGGCACAGGTGTCCCTCCAGGAATAATGAACCGCAGTGCTAGAATTCTGAGTCTCTGTGCCCTTGGGTACCTTATTGCTCTGAGGACGAAGCTGCCTACCCCAATTTCTATGAATGCATTTGGTAAACTCGCCTGACTCTACCTTTACCTTTTGAGGTAGAGTAAATCGCCTGCCTTTAACTTCCAAAGCCTCTTGTAATGTTAATAATGTTAAAAATGCCATGTGTTGAATTTGTATAATGAGTCTGGCACTCTACAAGTGCTTTAGATTAGTTTTCTTATTTAAACTTTAATATAACCAGGGTAGGGTATTATTTTTTCTCTTTACAGATAAATAAGACATAAAAATGAACATCCTGATAATAGGTTAGTGAGAAGCGATTAGTGAGAACCTCAATTAGGTTTTCAACTTAGATCTTTGATTTTGCATGCCCACATTCCTCAAAATCTCCAGCTTTCCACAGACTTCGTTAAACGACTTATCACACTTCATCATAAGTACCTATTTAACAGCTTATCCTCACCCCTACCCTCCAGGACACTGAACCTGTGGGAACTAGAAACCCTATCATTATTCTTGGCTTTGCTAACATCTAAAATGCTTAGTTCTGTGGGTGGGGGCTTTACTGTGTAGGTAGATTGGTAGTTTGAATATCTAATGGATGAATAGGCTGAAAGTTTATCAGAGGTGGAAGGGATTTGGGGATTAATCATCTCAAACACCTCATTTTTAGAAATGGAGCAGCTGAAACCTCTTGTCTTACCAAGCAGATACTGAGTTATCAAGAGCCAGTTTTTCTATGCTAAATGATTTGCAAATTATGTCAAACCTAATCTGTTGTTTATATTTTCACAGATGAAGAAACGGCTCAGATTTGGCCAAGATCCCATAATTAGGAGGTGGGAATTTGGAACCCACCATGACTGACTCCAAATTAATAGAGTGCTTATAATCAGTTACATAATTATGGTAAAGGCTTTATTTTTCGCTATTTGTATGGAATGGATAAACTTAGAGAGTAAGTCAGCGTATAATAAGCCCTTAAAGAATATACACATGGCAAGAAAGATCAGAAAAGGAAACAAACTGTGAAGAAGTAGAAAAAGTGCAATTTCTCCAAAATAAAAGCAGAAATTAGTGAGCTAGGAAATAAAATTAATTCTATTAATAGTTGGTGTTTGAGAAGAAACAACAAAGACACTTTGCAAATCAGAAGTAGAAAAAATAACATTGGAAACAAGGAAGGACATATTATAGATATGAGGGACTTTGAAAATCCTCTGAATTATTTTTTCAAACAAACTCTTGAAAACTTGCATAGTTTTCTTGGAAAATACGTATTTTAAAAAGTTAGAAAACTTTAATAAATTAATAATCATTAAAGGATACCCTGTTTATACTTCACAAAATTCAGCAGGAATAAAACAGAAAGATCTAGGGCTTCCCAACTGTAAAAGTAGCATAATCCCTACAGAATGGAAATAAGGATAGTGAAAATAAAACTTATAGACTGGTCTCATTTATGAGTATATATGCAAAGGTCAAATAAACTATAAAGCCAAAATTCATTAAGAGAATAGTGTTGTAGTTAAGTTGGGTCAGTATATGACAACATAGTAATGAAATTGGTACATTACTAAAAGGGAAAAAATTATGATCTTAATTGCTACTTTAAAAGCACTTAAAAATTAACATGTTACTGATAAAATTGGTGGTAAGCAAGTAGTGAAAGGAAGCTTTCTTAACTAGATAAAAGATACCCACCGACCAAGAATAACATAATTAGTGTCATCCAGGTATTGTTCCTAAAATGAGCATTGTTCTGATAATTTTGTATCGGTGTAATTATAAGCAAGACAAGAAAGATGTGAGATTGAAGTGAGATTAAGACAGACAATGTTATCATTTGCCTAGAAAATCTAAGAGAACTAATCTAAGGGAAATATTTTAAAATACTAGAATAAAGAGTTAAGATAATAGCTGTCAGAGCAATGTACAAAATTTAGATATTATAAACTTAATAATTTAAAGGATACTTATTAGCTGCAACAGTGAGCTGTTGTAGTGATAACACTTTCAAAAAATGGACAAAACTGTAAGAAAAGGCCATAAAACTTCATTTATGGATGAAGATCCAAATAAGTGGAAAGACACATTGTGTCCTTATGTGTGTAGGATCAGTTTTTTAGAGAAATGATTCTCCTCAGGCTATAAATTCGTTGCATTTCAAGTAAAAATTCTCAATTTTTAGTGGAGATTTATCAAGGTGATTTTAAAGTTTATCTAAAAAAAAAATGCAAGATTAACCAACGCATTAAAACAAGGAGGATTTATCACAGTACTGTGGGGACTGTAAAGCTCTTAAGTTTTTAAAACAGGTTGGTATTAGACATACCAGTGGAACAAACTGGAATCCAGAAGTAACTCCATGAATACGTTTATCGTACAGGAGGTCTTTCAAATAGAAGAAAATAGAGTAAAATTGTTTTACAAATCTTAGAAAGGCCTTCCTCAGCAAGACAGACCCCAGAGGCTGCTGTGCAAAAGCTTTATAAACATTTAAAAGGCAACAAGATATGTTACCATAAAGTGAGACCAGAGATAGACTTAATGTTTTATTATTTTAAATTTTTCAGTTAGAAAGTAATTGAAGGGCCTCCCCGGTGGCGCAGCGGTAGAGCGCTGGGTTGCGAAGCTGCCCGCGGCCTCTGCGACGCGGTTCGATCCCTGGCTGCTCCCCAGCCACCAGAGGAGGGTCCCACATGGCGCGCAGACCTCTCCTGCCGCCCGCTGCTCCCCTCAGCAGTGTCTTTGGTCTGTCTACCTGCTCTGCTCCCTGCTCTGACTCGGGTGAATTCTCTCACCCTCCTGTGCTCTGAATGTACCCAGTGCATGTATAAACAAAAACAAATAAATAAATAAATAAAAACATGCCTCTGAAAAAAAAAAAAAGTTAAAAAAAAAAGTAATTGAATAGGAAAATGAACAAAAATGTTTTAAATAGTAAGAGCAAAATAAGGATACTTACAGTTGAGAGAGTGCTATTTGCACTTCACATTGATAAAATCAACTGAAAGTTTATAGGTAATACGTGTTGGAAGAGGTTAGGTAAACAAAGCACTCTGAAGACCATGCTGGTGAGAGACGAAATTGATATGATCCTTGAAGGACAATATGGTAGTTTTGAAATCTTAATGTACGTTACCTTGGACCAAGCAACTATCCAGTTGCAAAATCATCAGTAATTTGCTCAGTTGTATGTAATGGGATAGTTACTGCAACATTTTGTAAATAATTAGAAACTTGAATAGTCATCAGTGAAAGAAAGGTGTGACGTGAACTGTTACACAGTGGAAATGCCAGCATACATGTGTCAATGTGAAGAATGTAAGGTATAGTGAAGGAAAAAAGGCAACGTGATAGGTGTGATCTCAATTTCTCAATTACTTTCTGCAAGAATTTTTTTCAAAATTTGGGACGGATCACCAAAGTGTTAATTCAGTGGTTACATGAAATAGGAGATAAAAGACTATTTTCTATACTTTCGATTTTTAAACTTTTTAAAATTCTACCCTAAATAAAAATATAGCAGCACAGGAAAACACACAGTGACAAAGCAAGATAATTTTAAGAGAGTATGAGCCAGGAAAGATTCAGAGGCTAAGAAAAGCACACTGGTTTTGGCAAGGAGTCATGGATAATATTCAGGAGAGCAATTTTAATGAAATTGTCAACGTGTAAAAACTAGGTTGCACAGGATTGCAAGGTAAGTGAGAGATTATGAAGGAAGTTTCTCAAATGAGAAGTTTCAGAACATAGACTGAAGTGGGCATCTCAGCATTTCAGAGTATCTGCACCCCTATAGATAGAAGGCCTAAGGTTCCAATTAATTAAACTAGTCCTCTTCTACATTCCTACCAAAGAGGAGTGATAAACCAGCATTTTGCACCTAGTTCTACAGGAGGGAGCAGGGCCAACACCAGGCCAAAAACTGGATTAAGTGGATTTCAGTAACCATTACTATTTTTTGCCTATGAACTTCTTACTAGGTGTTCTTGCCTCCCCCTCCCGCTAC